TAGGAGTATTTCGGATCTGTAAGCCAGAGAACCGTATGTATAGATGAGACAATTGCAGTTCCATTTGGGTCAGGCACAACCTAACAAGGATTTGCAGCCAAGCAATTGAGAACTTGATTTCCTGGAGATCAGTATAACCTTCCGACCAAATTTTGTTTCTCCAATCTTCGAAAAGTGGGACTGAACGATGATTCGAGGGTGAATCTGCATACCAGTCTTTTTTCCCCCCACCTTCAGCTACTGGGGAAGAGAGACTTGGTCAAATCTGATTTCTTAACAAAAGTACGTACCGGCTTCCTTTCCGGTGGAGGCTGACCTAACAACTCATTTGGGAATGGGGTCCTGCTCACATGATATATGATGTATGCTGCATACGGCTTTTTTTTTTTTTTCTTTCTTTCCCTATTCTTTTCTTCTCCTTCTCTATTCTTTTTTTTCCTTCCTTACCTTTTTTTTTCTGGTTATGGGTGCTGGCTCAATCGACTTGTCAGCTTTGCCTAGCACACGGTGGGCTGATTCGATCCACCTCAGTTTGTCAAAAAAAGAAAGGTCGGGTGCAGCGGCTTGACGGATTTCTACATTGCCATTGTTGTATCACTTACCATGTCTTTGTGTTTTGGGACGCTCCGGTAGGTCGGAGATGTATGTACATTCTTGTACAGGTATAGAGTGGCAACAAACATCACATCGTTGGATGATGAAAGAGGATGGGGGTCGAGGTCTCAGTCCTATTGGGCCACGATAGCCGGTTCTTTGTCATGATCATCGCCGTTCGTTCCTGCTCATGCACGAGGCAGGCATTCTGGCAGCTGCAGTTTCGTTTAACTTATCGCACCAATCCCTGCATCCTGCGCTGAAGTGTGTTCAAGCAATGAGCGGGTGACTTCCGTTCTGCACCTTGGTCAAGCATCTTGCTCCTGTTATACATCAATATGACTCGATAGTGAGAGACTCAAATCCAGGCCGTGATGCCTCTGTGGCTTCTGAATGGCTGCGAATTACTAACACGTGGTCGCAAATCCCAAGGATTTACTGTTAGCCAAGCAGGGCCAGTCTATTCCATACTCTAGACAGATCTGGAGGTATCCCCAGTCTTTCTATCCCTTCTATCATCGTGCAATACACATCACATCAAACATCAGACCTAGTACTGGCAAAGACCAAAATCTGCAGATCTCTTATCCCGGGAGCATAGTCTGAGTAGACAATAGAAAGTGCAAATATAAAAAGTAAGTCATTGTTCTCATTATCCTGCTAGCCTTGCTCAGCAGGCCGTCGCATAAATTATCTGGTTCTAGTACATGTATGGTTTGAGCAAAACAAGAAAAATAAAAGCAACTTTTATCACCACACATTACTTCAACCCCAGTATGAAAAAAGAACTCATCAAATGACCTTATGGAGAACTGGCTTAGACGATAGCATGGCCAGTTTTCTGCGCACGACGAGCGGTACCCACGCCATCAACTCCAAGCTCCTGATTCTCGCCAAGCCATGGCTTGGCCGATTCACCTAGCTTGCTTTCCTTGATGAAGTAGACGAAAAGACCGATGACAATCAGAACGAAGGCAATCGGGTAGAGGAAGTGGACAGTATAATGGAAGACCTGGATACCGATAATCAAGCCCCAGAAGTTCATAGTCAACATGGAGATGTTGAAGAAAGCCGCCGATGAGATCCGGAACAGGATGGGTGCCAGGGTGTAGAAGATGAAGAGTACGATAGTGTACCCGGCGATATAGCCTCCGACCTTACTATTCCAGGTGGCACCATGGAAAGAGTTCCGATCAAAGATGGCGCACTGGACACCGTTGATCAACATACCCCAAAAACCCATCTGCCCGATGACCTCATACATAGGCCGCTTGCTGACCATAAATTCCTCGAATAGGTTGCTGAAGGCGTAGATGGTAGACGCAAGCAATGCGAATAGATCTCCTTTGACTTTATTCGACGCAGCATAATCAGCCCCACGGAGATGATCCGACGCAATGAGAAGACCGAGACCGCTGCAGGCTAGGAAAATCCCGAGATATTGTGTGAAGTGGTACCGAACACGCAGGAAGATGAAGGAGATGATCACGATGACGACAATGGTCCAGAAGCTGAACAGCTCGGCACTCAACAGCGAAGTGTAACGGTAGGCCAGCACCATGAAGTAATTTCCTTCGACATCGAGGAAAGATAGGATGAAGTACTTCCAGCAGTCGGTGTAAAGCATGCGAAACCATTTCTTGAAGCCGTACTTGTAAATGGTAATGCTTGTGTACACCAAATTCAAAAGCACGTAATTCCACAAAGTTTGGAACGCAGGCAAGGATGTCCCCTCATTGGATAAAAGACTGGAGAAGGTGGAAGAGCTGATATTTGCGAGCGCGATAACTTGACTGCAAAATTGACTTGATTAGAAACGGGTTTGATGATGTGTTCACGTGATTAGTCTCACCCTAACAGAATGAGCAACCAGAAATCGCGAGTGCGCATATAACTGAAAAGTTGTCGGAATCGTCCCTGCTGCGGCTCCTGCTGTTCCCCTGCCTGGCCCTGAGAGCCCAGCTCCGGTGACTCGGCCACCGAGTGAAGCTGCTCATTCTTCTCGCCCGGTGTTGTTGGCTGAGGTTGGACCTCGGCCATTGCTGAAGTCTTCTCACTCTCGTAATAATTCGCCATGGTGATAGCGCGACGCGATGGGAAAATGGAAGGACGAAGAACTATTAAGATTAAGGATTGGATGAGAACAGATACGAAAAAAGCAAGAGCTTTTCGCCAGCAAATGTGAGCGCAAAGCTCCAAACTCGCTCACTGCTTGAATCAACAAGGGCGCAAAGAAGAAAAGGGAAGAAAATCCAAGCAGCGCCGGAGCTGGATGGGTTTTATAGCAGCGTGGGTTCTGGACTCTGGGCTCAGAAAAAAAAAAAAAAACAGGTTCACTTGCACTGCGTAAAGAAAAATCTAATCTAATCAGTGGGAGGGGCAAATTTGACCAATGGCGTTGCAAGTCGAATGCGATAACAGCCTTACTAACCCAGCTGACTTGTAAGTTGACAAACCCACCTTACCCTAACTGACTAGTGGTCACAGGCTCCCTGTGAAATACATGTAATGTAATGGAGTGGAAATGCGAATACAGGTAACCTAATCCTCAGTAGACATCAGTTCGAGTGTCTGCTTCTTTCCCATGGTGGAAATCTCTTATACATATCCTCAAATGGCAAACTTCGTTGACGCTTTATCTCTTATGTTGTCTCGCCCTGTGTTCTCGTCCGACCTTTCTGTTTTAGCCGACTTTCAAGTTCCATACTAGCGGGATGCCACGATCCAGACTAGATTCCACGGAGTGGAAACCCGCGCGATGATGTGGCGACCGGCCCCCACCCCTCAGTCCAACCAGTGGCCTGAGTGCTGTTGGTCATGCTTTGCTTCCAGATCTGAGGTGGGGGTAGGAGATGTTAGATAACGCGGCTCTTCCGTCTTGAGGACCTGTTTCAGGTTTTGCATTATGGTCATACAAGCTGTAGTCGCCGGTACAGAAGAACTCTACTAATCGCTTGAATGGGGAAGCTGGAAACTATTTAATGCGGTAGACGCTGGTATAACCCTCCTTGAATTCAGTAGAGTAAGCCGCTCTGATTGCCTCTACCTGGGAGTAAATACTCATTATATGCACGGGGATGTTGACGCCGTCGCGTTCCAGGGTGGATTCGGTATAGTTTGCTATGCAGATATTAGAGTAGAGACTGTTGTGTACCGGACTCATGTGAAAGCTCCGCAGATCCATGGGAGGTGACCGTGCACCCACTTGACAATCATGTTCGTTGGACTTTCTGTGCTTTGGATTCGGATTGACTGATATTTAATATCATCTAGCCAGAAAACCAGTTTTGGTTTCAGCACTATAAGAGTATTGGTAAGCAGCACTGAGCCTTCAGAAACTACGAAGAATATAGGAGATTTACCATTTGAATTGCAATTTCCCGATCTTTAGTCGAAAAGCCGAATCGGTTCGGGAGCGGGAGTTATTAATCCCCTGCCGTTTCAGAGAAGCAATAATTTCGACTCCCACATGCGGTTTAAAATCAGGTCCTGACCTTTGTCCGCGTATCTCCATCATTGCTCCCAGAAGGTCAATGCACCATCCATGATCTTTATCTCCAGCACTTGGCGGAACCCAGCCGTTCCAACGTCCTGCAACATGGCATGGCTTACAAAAGAGCCGGTATAAACCATTATCTCCTTTGGTAATATTCCACAAAGACGTCGTCTTCAGGGTTCCACAGCGTTCGCAGGGGAATTCCATGTCTGCAACCCGACCTCGGAGAAATGGTAGATATCTACATTCAATTGCCCTTTGTTTACATGACCTGTAAGTATGTTGCTGATAGTTTGTACTCCATCCTACTTCCTCGGTGCTTCCACAGTGTCAGCAATCATTTCGTTTCTTGTCTCTTTTCTCGCGCACTTGCGATTCTCTTTCCGTCGATCTCGCTTCTGCACTTTGTCTCTCTTGCATCGTTCTCAGTGGTCCCGCGGGTTGTCCGGCAGGAGTTTGGTCAATTGCCAATATAAGACCCAGCTGAATGGCGAAAGTACAAGTTTATGCCGATCTACATATCTAGTAGCATTAACCATAGCCAGTGGGATGTCCTGGAGCCTTTCTCTGGAGTCCGCGTGATATGCCTGAACATTTTCGTCGCCGAGGCCCAATATCTCATTCACTGAAGTCGTAGGCTAGGGGCAAGGAAGCTCATTTAATGGCTCCTCAACTTCCTCATCGAATTCACCTTCTTCGCAGTCGGTGTCGTCTGCCCGAGAGTCACACTCATCGGGCTTGTTCTTCACGCCTTCTGGGTTGGGCGAGGTCATGAATCCACCAATAGTCTCTCATCTCCATCTGAGTCCTGATCATCATGACTTCTTTCATCGCATGCTTGCTGATCAGGATCCTGATGTAACTCTGCTCTCTTTCTTTCTTATTGTTTTCAAGTCCCCAGATCTTCAACCCAAAATACGATCTCTCGCCCCCTTAGTTCTCAGTCTTCTTAAGGTATTTTAAAGTATAGCATATATTACGGATGCTGCTGATGCCGAATCTAATATTATTTTATTGGACTCAGACAAGTTCAAAAGCTTTGTAACTGAATATAATCTGGCATCTACAGAATTCTTTTTACCATATTATAATTACTGCAAGACTCTTGATCCTAAATATAAGTAAAGCAGCTATATAGTTAAAAGTAAAGTCTATTTCTCTAGTCAGGATTAACTAGACTACAGAGGAGGACCTGGATAGGAACTAAGGTATCAAGAAATATCTGATTCTTTTCTTGCACCGGTACAATTGTTGTATTCATTTATGGTTTCCATATTATATATATATAATCCTCCCCTGTTTATTTAGGTACTCTAGACTTTCGTCATAGAGTGTTAGTACTGATCTTATTAACGTATGACTCATTATCAACGGGGTACAAATTCCTGACTTTCCGGGCCGGTACAGTCCTCTTGGCCTTTCTAAACTGCTTTATCTGATCCGAGATTTTGGTTACCGGGGAAAAGATAGCCTAAAAGGGATATTACGGGAGGTGATGGTTGTCGACGGCGGGTGGTTGCTGGAGTTGATGTGTGACTTGCTGCCTTGTGCCCCAGGGCGGGAGCTCTTCCCGAGACGCCGAGAATGAGCAGTTCGCATCAGCTGATGTTCAGACCGTGGTGATAACCATATATACAGGAAGGTTGAGAGTAGAAGAGCAACAGAGAGATCTTTTGTGGGAAATCGGCTGCAAGAAAATCCGCGTACCTTTTTTAGCACAAATCTTTAGCCCGTGTAAGTATGCGTTATCTATTCTCCTTATAGTTAACTCTTTTAAGGATTCAGTGGGCCTGAGTCTCTCGCCGTGTGTTGAATACTTAGTGCTAATCAAGGATTAGCGATTCGCCTCGCTCGCCCGTGGTTATATCATGTAAAAGGTGTGTCATAGAGGAGGATTATTACTCTAAGACAGTACTTCTCAAGCTTGCTCGAGGACTGTCTCATGGAAGAGGTGTACTCAGGAGTGATATTTACCTAAGTAGCCTAGGCTAAGAACTCGATATACACTGAGAAGTGTAGTCAAGATAGCCTAATGCAGTATTGGACTTCTCGAGCCTCATGAGATCTAAACCACTAACATTTAATTGCCTACCATGCGGCCGCCCAACTTGGCCACGGACCTAGCGAGGATGGCACCGAGATGACTATGTACAACACGCCAGACGAGACTCTCGTCATGAGTTGAATAGTTGGATGTTTCTCACTAGCGATAGAGCCAATGAGGCAGTTGGACAGTTCTAAGCCGGGAAAACCTCTTCCAGTGGATTGTATTATAAGATTTGGAGTATTTCGAAATTCCCACAATACCCGCACCATCCCTTCTTTCCGTCGAAAATAATCCAGATATGCAGTGCTATGATAAGTTCTTGTCGTATGGTATCAGTATCCTAATATTCCAACTTGCTGGCGGTATTTTCGAGTGGCTATAATCCATGTAGATCTTTTCATCGTCTCAATAGGAGTACAGTTCCGTGGACGCGGAACTGGTGTCTCTAAAGACTCAGGACATCAGGACATTGGTTCATTCGGGCGACAGGCTTACAGCCATTCACCTACGATGGGCGATCCTCTGATCTATTATTGCCGCCCGTCGTGGTGAAAGATAAGCTGGGTTGCGAAGAGTTTGCATAGCCCACTGTCGCGAGATAATGGCAGACGGGGCACATCAAAAGAGCTCTTTGAATAGTGGCACATCGATGGCGATACTTTCACACGCCTGCCTGGCCATTCTTGAACTGTACTCATTCCAACTGGGCGCTACAGAGAATGGTTGTCCACGCAGTTTGATGAATCCCATTGACTTATGATCAAATCGATAAGTGTATAGTCAATCTTGTGGCCATTTCCTGAGGTTGAACCACTTCTGAATGGCGCTGAAAACCGAGCTTTTGCAGCTAGACTGGTCGCCCACGACAACCAGCTGAGGAAGGTCAATGTACTCGCCGATTTTGCAGGCGATTAGACTGTTGATTCTGTCCAGTGAGGCTTGGTCGGGGAGGCCCGCATCGCTTATGTTCGCTTTTTGGTTATGTTAGCGGCATCGCAGTGAAATCAAGGGAACCTGGAAGACCTCGACGCAAGTATCCACATGAATGATATTATGAGACGGCGGGGGTAGTTTCAGCAGCGAGATGGGATACGAATGGTTGGAGGAGTATTGATATCTTCACTCGCAATTGATTAGAAGCCCTGTTTCCCTGGTCTGCTGGTCCGCAGGTTGCCCATCTGTTAAGGTGGCGGTAATTCATGAAAATCATGTGGTCGCCTCAATATGAGTACAGTTCCATGAAAGTGAGACTGGTAGCGCGCGGGGATGTCTTGTTGCAGTTTAGGATCCACTGAGCACCCTGATCTGTGTACTGTGGCGCCTTGGTTGCTGAATGGCCGAAGCGAAGAGGCTGGGATTGTCCCAGCTCTACCAAAACTTACTAGCACGAATCTAAGTTCGGTTCTCTGAGGTGTGACATTAGTTGAGGATCTAACGAATGTCAATTTCTGCGTATCATGGCTGCTATTTGGGTTGTCGATTGGCTAAAATAAGGAGTAAAGCTCGTCAGGGCAAGTGCGGACACTATATATGGAGAAGGAAGAGGCAACGAGAGGCCAGTTGAGCGGGCCATGCCCATGATCTGCTAGCGGATTGCTGCAGGCTGAGGGCTCCAGAATATATCTTCCTAAGCAGTCTAGGACCTTTTTACTTGTAGTGTGACCTTCTCACCGTCTAGCCAGTTTATCAATATCTCACCCCTGTTGATCGGCTGGAGTTCTTCTAGCTTTCCAGAACAGCTCAAAGAAGACACTATGAAAAACCCGACCCATATCTGCAGATGTTGTCAGTGTCCGCCAAATACTGTGTTGCAATATCGTACCCCGGAACACAATACCATAGTCAATGAATTGTACTCATATCACGGCAATGACACGATCTACATGGATTATGGCCACTCGGGAATATCGCGCGATACGTCTACCATCATAATCCTGTGTTCGCTAACTACTATGTTGCAACTTCGAACCGCGAAACACCAACACCATAATCAATGAACTAAGTAAGGAACCTTGAATTTAATATGAATCCATTTTGCTAATCACCTTCAAGGCAAACCCAAGGCACTAGGTGTATTCTACTAACATAGCGAACATATTGGTCAATCTATGAGTAATGTATCTGGCCTGACATCTAGCCCAGGCCTTAGTTGTTGCTGAAGCTGAAGCTGCAGGATCAGAGTATCATAGTTCTGGATCATCTATGTATCTGGTACAGTTTGAGTCCAAAATCGAGGAAATTGATAGACGATAAGAACCACTTGGCATCTTGCTCGGGAGGCATAGAAAGGGGCTTAGCGTTCGATTTCGATATTCACGGAGAAATACAACGCTGGAGCTCAGGCGCATTGTTTTGCTTGGCCCACACATCTCAGGTTCTATAACGTGCCAGTGAACTACGTAGCGCTCGCCGCTTCTTGTTGAAAGAGCTTCCCTTGCCAACGAAACCAGAATTTTCTCTCGAATCAAATCATCGGTAATTACATGGTCCCCCTTCCTTCAAAATATAGCCACCAATACGCAACGAAGGAACCATCGCTTATGCGTGGGGTAAATAAGATTAAAGAACCGCGAGAGCACCGACACACCAAGCGGGTAAGGTGAATGAGAAAGTGCCGTTGCTGGATTCTACCTTAGACTCAGAGGGCACACGGTCGGTATTGACAGCATCGGGATCACTACTATATCCGAGAGAAGGCTAGGTGTTCCAGCCTTTCGCTCCCAGACCGTTACGCTCACGCTCTCGCTCTCGTATATAACTTAGACTTATGAGTCCTCCGAGGGATATATATTTTAGAGCTCCGCGCTTACGCGCGTCGCAATAGAATAGGATCTGAATCAGATTAGGATTCATAGTACATATACTACGATAGCAGATACTATTAGGAAATTGAGCTGCGACCGAAGCGAACAGTTTAAAGAGTCTCATAGACAAATCAAACATAAGGAGAGTAATAAGACGTTGAGCATGAGGGCAACTAAGGTGTTTCGACATAATGAAGTGCTCGTATGGAAGGTTAAGTCCGCCTCATGATACAAAGCTCTGACAATTTCAGTAGCTAATCCTCGATGGTCTAACGGTCATGATTTCCGCTTGTCAATCCTGAGAAGGAACAAGCGCGGGAGACCTGGGTTCGACTCCCAGTCGGGGAGATCTTTTTTTGTGTCAACCTGAAGTCGATTTGTCAAGCTCCAATGCATGTTTTATCTTCGTGGTGGTCCACCCAATCATTTTTGTATTCACGTACTTTCCGGATCTCTCTCTTTTTCTTAGCCCAATGAGAGCCCAGGGTCTACTACCAGGTATCATGGGAGCGCCTCAGTGTCTTAGCCCATTCCTTGGCACTCTTCATTCTTTCATCTTCGCAAAATCAACACTCGTCTTAAAGTATATGTCCGCTCTTCAATATGTCTTCGAAACCATTGATACTGGTCGCGGCGGTCACTCTAGAATGTCGTTAGCATCTTTCGTGCACGTTGAATCGCGATGATGGACACTTCAATCCCTTAGCAGCATTGAAATTTCACGAATCGGTCCATCTTGTCGCGATTCCAGTCGCTCTCGGAGCACCTACTCATGGAGGGTCATCACTGCGGTATCAAGAACTATAGTCAACGAGCGTACGACTGGCCCACGGGTCTGGAGAACGTTGAAGCAGCCATGCAGTCCCTTCACCTCTTCGACCTCTCTACTTGAACTTTCTGTGACCGCCATGTCTGGCCAACAATGCAGGCCAGAGAATATAAATGAGGCTTGTTGCGTGAACGGCAGATCCCCAGCCTGTTCGCTTCAACGGACTCGAACGTTGAGCCCTATTCACCAAGCCGGATACATTGTGTTCGATGGCCATAAAAATTGTCGAGCTTCCATATTGGAACTGGCATACAATGAGTCGGAATCAGTCCATGTCATGGTCAAGCAGAGCAGGTCGCGAGGCCGGAAGTGTTTCGTCGTTAACCTTATCGAAGAATGACGTGCTCCCTAGAAATCGTTAGCAGGGGTCTCTATGGCATTATCGAAGAGATAAAGGAGCACCAGGCAGACCTATTTCTGCCTTCAACAGCAATGACCATCTCGATCGCTAGTTGTATAAGGATACCGACCGCCGTGGATAGCGAATGTGTGATAGGCGTTTGGCCGATTATACCGGCTAAGGCCAAGGCGTGCAGCTAGGGGCTTGCCTGACAAGTGGTGTTGATGGTCTCCAGAGTATCGACAGACACGGCCTTGTCGATCCTGTGTCCATCGAGAAATGGGGCTTATACCCCGACAAATTCTTTCCTCCTGGACTTTGGTTGTCGTTATGGGAGGATCACTGGATGAGGAAGCTTGTTCTTCTCAGGCCGTAATAAGGGCGTAGAATAGGTTCGATCAAACGAGTCCGCCAAGTGATCGACATCGCTACTGGGATTGTTCGAGGTCGTCGAAAATCACCCCTACCCGTGCCTCGTCAAGCTTACACTCCTCCACGTTCTGTTCTTCAATTAGTCTCTCAAATATTCCGGCATTATTCTCAGACAGAACGGTCCCTCGTTGTGCGGCACTTTGTTTCTTTTGTCCGGACCTTTTCTCGTGTTTGTGAGTACCGAAGCTCTCTAAGTTAAACCGAAACCCGCCGCAATGCGATGAACTGCCTACCTTTGTGACTTATGGGATGGCAATGAAACGTTACCGAGCATGAGACAGAAACTGCCAAGAGAGCTGAACTGGAGGAAGTAGAAGCGACGTAAAAAGAGGGAATTGGATGAAGGACCACCGGGTTATTCGTGCAAGCATACCACAAAATCATGGCTGGGCAGACTGTCTGCATCAATGTTTCGCCCCTACAACTTACACAGCAAGGCTGTTTCGAGCTGTCCACGCTGTACCAAACATGGCATACAGTGCGAGACACAGTGCGAGTGAAGGATCCCTCACATCGCCAATGGCGATTACATTGAACGAGCAGGAATTGTCGACTTTCTTTGACCAACGTATTCATGCTTATTATGTTTGATCATCTAAATCTACTTTATATTCACGCCCATCTCACTACACCAAAAACGCCTGCGAAACGTCCGTAAACGGTTACAAGAGAACTCTATGCGGGGACGTTATTCATCTGGCTTGTCGGATGATACTCCGAAAAGCTCTCAGGCCAGAGAAACATTTTTTCTTCCCGCGAGGGGGTTGCGGCAACAAATTGGGGGATCTGTGCGAATTAGCATCTACAAGCGCCATAGCGATGGCCCACAAGCTCATGTTCCAACTTACAGCTTGCTTGCTGGAAATACGCCGCCACATATTTGCACGAGGGTTGAAGCGGGCAGGTTTGCCCACGCCACCAGTCTTCTGCTGGTCTTCTTTCATAATGGCTTCGACTTCTTTCTTGACATCGACAAACGAGTCAAATCCAATATAGGGAATATGGTTCTCGATGCAGTATTCCTCTAAACGCAAACCCTTGCGGGCGAAGAGCACGTCTGCTTCTCGCGCAGCCGGAAGGTCAGACACACCGTCTCCGATGAAGATGATGAGAGGGATTTCTCCATCCAAAGCACCTTCCGCCGCTAAAGCGCGGCCCTCCTTGACGGACAGCGCCTTATCGTGGCCGAGTTCGGTGTCATGCCGCCAGATGGGTTTCCACTCGGACCCATCGGATCTGATCTCGGCATCATTGGCGACAATCTGGATACGAGAAGCCTATACACGAATGCGTTAATAGTGGGTGAGAAGAGAGGAGCCACCGGAAATGTCATACCTCTTGCTCTCCAAGGAAAGTGTCCAGCACTTTGCGGAGGATCGGCTTAAGTCCCGCACTTATAACGTTGAAGTCAATGTTGTTGGCCACGCAAAATTGGTGAAATTCTTGGAAGCCGGGGTCGATCTCTAGCTCCTTCTCCATGATCTGGAAACCATCTTCAAAAGGAACTCGTAGTGAGCTCCACATCTCTTCAGAAACTTCTCGAAACGAGCGCTCGCCTGACTTGATCTGTTCATCAAGCAGCCGGCGGCGCTCTTCGCCGCAACCTAGGTTATCAAACAGGACATGGCCCGTGTCTTGCATGAAGATGGTGCCATCGAAGTCTATGGAAAACGGAAATATTAGCCGCTAAAGGTGGGGATGATCCGCAGGGGCAGCAACGAACCCGAGAAAATGGCAATTTTTCTAGATGAGGGCGACATTGTGGCCTTGATTGAGTGCGGTTGAAGGGTTGGTTTGACGGAAGGGTGATGTATGATTGAAAGATGCTCCAGCCCGGAGATGGGCTCAGTGAAATATCTTTCCCACGATGAGGGAGGGCGACCGTGGCGACGCAAAACCGGAATGATTCCAATGACGTACCCGCGGAGAATTGTACCAGGATACGCTCGGGAGTGAGGAGGGTTGATTAGTTAACCGTGCTGAAAGGAGAAGAGGACCCATCGTCCCCGGGGGGTAAGAGTGGAGCCCAAGAAGAAGGAGATTTCAGCCATTGTTGTTGGGTGCAGAACACTGGACCCCGATCGGCTTCCCGAGAGGCTAGAAATTGTGGAAAGCCTTACAGCTTCATTTGCACTTTCTAACGTCATCGCCTTAGTTAAGCGAGGAAGGAAAGTGACATAACCTATCTAGTATTCGTTCATACCCCCTTCGATCGGCTCTGCTGAAGCTGAAGCTGAAGCTGCTGCTGCTGCTGCTGCTGCTTCCATGACGGTCGAGCCCTCGTTTGGCTGCATACCGACGGACACACCTCGGACACACGGACACACAATCTCTCCTGGCCAGATTCAGCCCAAGAAAAGCCTCCATGCAGCCACGCATGTCAAGGAGATAAGGTGATTGGTTTTAAATATATACATTGGGATTGTGTTCGCAATGGTGGCTTATGGAAGGGTGGAAGGGGTAGAAGTCCAGCCCGGCTACCGCCCTGGGTCAAATCCTCACGGCTGGTTCCGGATGAACATGTCCGCCCCACCGATGATGACATTCTCCGCTTTTCACTTTTTCCATCTCGTCTTTTGGGCCTCGCATGCTTTACACTTTTCGTGCTACAACATGATATCAGCAACAGTGCGATAGCATCACAAGGGGTATGAAGGTAATATTCGCTGGCCCCCTCACATCGACAGGTGACAGTCGTCCCTGGTGGCTTGGACCCCAATCGCCTAACGTCCTTGGCATCGCCCTCAATGCTTGCATACATACGTGAAACTGACTGAAATCCATTGGATTGCGACAGTCTCTCGAGAACTCATTGAGTCTGCAATATAACCACTAGAAACCAGTGCATTGACTTCTGATTGTTGGGATCACATGTTCACGATCTCCGTACAACTAACCGTGAGCTCCCATAAAGAAGTAACGTGCTTTACTCAATGTTACTAGGTTAAAAAAGCTGGAGGAAAGACGGACCATCTCGGAACAGCAGCTCAAATCCAGGTTCCAGAGCATATAGTCTGCAACATTTTAAGCAAGACCCTGTCGCCTCGCTCGTCAGATTCCGCGGTGCAGGTCTCTAGAGGAACTGCAACCTCAGCAGGAACTTGCGCTGCCTTTTGGCGACCACGGCGCATGCTGAGGGCCTTCTCTCGGAACCCACATAGAGCATACAACTTGAGCCCAGGGTTAGATTTAGAAGAGACCTCGGCCATATCAAAGGCCTTCATCAACCAGCTCCCAAGCCTGATCTGCGCCAGACACCTCAGGACGGACACATAAATGCCACAGTGTGCAAGTAAGAAGGTGATATTGGGGATAGTACGTGGTAAAGCGCTAGCGGTAACTGGTCAGCATCTCGGCGATCTTCAATTCCATGCCGGTTTGCAAAGGTATAACACGCCAATGCGAATGATTCTTCGCAACGCCGGCGGCAGATACTTCCGGAGAGAGTCGTCTCAATCGGATGAAAAAGCTTGGAATCTCCCCAGGAGAACTCGGCCTAGCAAGATAGCAGCCCTGTGCAACGGATATTGGGTTCGCAATGCTCCAGGTAATTTCTTTTGAACATCCTCTCTCACGCGCTCCAAGAATCCTCCCAGCTTATCCATCTGGTTCTGTCCGTTGAACACCCGATAGCCGATCGAGTGTCGTTATGCTCAGAATTTGCCTTATCATGAGTGTGCTTAAAGGGGACCTCATATAATGTATTGAGTGGAGGCATAAGTTTGGACTAAGGACCCTTCTGTTGGGCGCAATTCGGACTGCGCAGATTGACCAGCTCTGGTCCTACTAGGTAAATCTCTAGGCACTAACCCACCATCTTCTGCTTTAAAAAAACGTCTTCTCAAAGGATATCTAAGTTCCACGTCTGAATTTCCAGGTCAGGAAGCCACATAGTCATTTCCACTTCGTTGGTCCCTTAGCTGCCGGATCATGGCTTCCAAGCGAGCCAATCGCTCTGTGCCTTGCGCGTCCAATGTGCTGCACAATTTCTTCGAGGCTCTGTCTCGCCCGATAAATACAGTCCAAGTTCTCTGCACGTGTGCCGTAGGCGCATGGTCGCTGCTCAACAAACTTGACTTTCTGTCTTGGACCTGAAATGCTGCTGCTTTCATGAGCAGAAAGTTGGTTCTGAAGAGCTCCATGTCGCGAGGAGACGGAGACCCCTGTTGTACTGTCGCCTACGGTGCACTCGAGCTCTCAGATTAGCGCTCGTGCCACCAGAAATGCGGGGAAAGATCACTCCATAAAACTTCTTTCACTAAGGAACTTGTGTATGCCAAAGTCATGAGAGAGAATCTTGTTGATCATATGAAGATGACATGCGGTAATCGCTTCGCAGATGGTGGATTACGCCTGCCGCAAAAACTTATGCGCGCCGCGAGCGCCGATCGTCGCGTTGCAACGCGTATGGCGGACAAGAGCTGTCGTTCTGGGAATGCAATGTCAAGCACCTCTCCAAGCACCTCTCGCAGGCCCTACTACCGAGCATCTTTTCACATATCACATGATCAGATAATTTGCGAAATCAGTAAGGCAACGAGGCATCAAAGTAAGTAAGGCAGTAAGGCAGTAACGCAAACGCAGTAACGCAAATGGATATCTTGCCAATAATACTAGACTATGGTTGGCCATCTTCTCTGCTCATTCGGCTTCTCTAATTGTTGATAAAACAAAAAGTTCGTCTGATCACCAACTGAGGGGCATGCGGGTGGGGTTCGATTATCCTACTCCGTACTGTTATGCTGTCTGGGTATCTGTTTGCCTAACTGCCTTACTGCCTTATTTACTTTTATGCCTCGTTGCCTTACTTACTTAGCCAATTCCTTGGTCAAGTGATTTGTGAGAGATACTCGGTAATAGGGCCTGCGAGAAGTGCTTGACATCGCATTCGCAGGATGACAGCTGTGATTATTGCAGGTATGATACATAAGTAAATCTGATGTCGCAAGAGCTGGTGCTGAGGCTTCTTTTATGGCAGTGTTTCATAACAGTCGCATGTAGAAGCAATACTCGTTCTCTTAGCCTTTAGCTTAGATTCAGGGATTCAGCACAAAGTATTAGTTGTTTTACGTGTGGTATCACTAGTACAGGGTGCAGACAAATAACGGTGGATCAGCTAGTGTGTTTAATTGTTCAATTAATCGATGCTACGGCACATCTACCAGAGTCTGAGTAGACTACGAATCAACACCTCGGCTCTGGACTGTGGAGTTCAACATGCGCCACCAGGCTGGTTGGGGGGGGGGGGGGAAATCACATTAGAACGATACATTTGCTCCCTCGAATTGAAAACAGAATCTCCTAGCCCGTCGGACGCTCTTATACAGTACTTTGTCAACAATCATGTTGATCAGCCGAGGTTGACAGGAAGATTTCTCATCAAGACCCATCGAGTGAGGAGCCTGAAACAAGCTTGGCTAATGGCTACCTAGTATAGGGTTTAGCCTGCTCTTGCCTCCACTACGTATAAGTACCTACCTCGGTAATTTCTGCCTTTTCGGTTTTCACCCTTTATCGTGCAACGGCCGAACATTTAGCGGCTGTCTTCACCACATTTTCCTGTAAACGCCCAGTAGGTGGAGAGAATATCCAGCCTTTCCCGGGCCACTTCCGCTTGAGGCGTTGGAGGCGTTTATGATCATCATGCCTATTCTCACTGTTTCATGTTTGCAATGGTGCCACCCTATTCCCGTTAATATTATGATCTATGAACTCCGTACAGGTAAATATAGAATAATGAATCAGCGGCACTTCTCAGAAGCAGAAAATTTGGTCGCTCATCCTCGACATCGCCCCGGGTGCCTGGAATCCCATCGCTACCAATGTCTTCTTGCAGGCGCTAACCATCGGCGGAGGGCCACATAACAGAATCTTAGTATCTGGTGAAGGTGTCGGTAGATGCTCATTAAGCACGGCTTGAGTCACGTAGCCTGAGCCAAATTGCCATCCCTCGGGCGCTGTGTCAAGCATGTACCAGAGCTTGAAATTCTTAGGATACCTGCGTGCAAAAGTCTCGAGCTCCTCGCGCAGTAGGATATCTTGGTACGTCCGGTTTGCGTAGATAAGGCAGATTTCCGTCGTGTCGCGGTCATCCTCACAAATTGCTCGGATTAATTGGTACATGGGAGTGATGCCTGTCCCTCCAGCGACCATTCCAATCTTCTTGCAAATGCCTCGGGTGTACTTCATCGAGCCCTTGGGTCCACGGAACTCCACCTCGTCGCCCACTTCTAAATTGGCAAGGTACTGGCCGCTTAGAAGCCCGTCTGGATAACATCGGACGAGCAGCTCGAGGCGGCCCAGATCAATATTATTAGACACCGGCGTGTATGATCGACTTACGGTGGTATCGTTGATAACAGCTCGGATGGCAACGTGTTGTCCGATCGGAAGGCCGATGACTCCTTTCTGATCAGGCAATGCGAAAACAAAGCGGTACACATTCGAAGCCACTTCATCCTTCTGCACCAAAGGTAGGCGCCGGTATTCTTTTGCGTCAAGAAAGCCCTTGACCAAGTGCGGGTCAACCCTTGGGCGCTTTCGGGCCTTGATGCGTGGCGGATACCTCAGGAATCCAGACTCAATCTTAGTGAACTTCACAGCCTGTTGCGCGATCAGGCTACCCATCACTGCACATACAGCAGTGGCCATAATAAAGCCGTGAGCAAACTCCCCGCCTGGAAGTCTGAACACATTGAGCTTTGAGGGAATGACATGGCCAAGGGCTTTCCTCATATCAATGGCGCCTAGTTTGCTTCGATTGGCGACATACAGCAGGGCTGTCGCCGTACCCAGGGCAGTGGCAAGTGCACCAGCTGATCGGGCTGCTGGTGAACCCGATGCTGTTTTCTCCTCGAATTTGTGAGGGATAACGCGAACAGCTTTGGGGGGGGCATATTTTTTCGCGTCTTTCAAATTGCCAACCAAGTATTCTTGCAGAATCTCATACGCGTCTTCCGAATGACCAGCATCCTCAAATTCAGCAGTGGCATCTGTGCCTGCGGTCTCCAGGAGCACTTCTATTCCGCCAGGGTGGTCCACGAGATAGGTGGTCACGTCGAATACTAGAGTTTGTCAGTGTTGTCTCAATCTCCCCGCGCACTTCCACCAGTGAAATACCTTGTCCGTGAATGGCAATCCATAAATCATCTTTTCGATTATGCGTAGCAACTTCAGCCAAGGTGTATTCTGGCAGCTGGGCATCTGCCAGTGTCTGAGCTGGAGACTCGGATTTCAATGAGTTTTCCATCATTGGTTTGTAGAAGAACAAGGGAGAGTTGATCAAGATGGTTGAAGCCTCAGGTCGCAGGATAGATGCGACGCATTATAACGCAGTTGACTACAGCGGCATGGAACGGCATAATTTCGATAATGCGACAATTCTGATTGCGCGACTTTTGCAGCAGATTTTGGGGGGGGGGTGGGAAGGGATCCAGTCGGCCCACCGGCGTCGGAGATTATTTTTGAAGTTGTCGCAGGCTCGCAGCGGCCGGCGTGCCGAGTTGACACTCGAATTTGGCCGAGTCCTGGCGCTATTTACGATTCTGCAAGCTGTGCCGTTCACCCCTTTTGGAAATTTTGGACCCGATGTTTGGTTATGCTTGATAACGAAGCATATAGTCTCCGTCGCAGTGGGCCCTAAAACGACGATCGCTTCCTGTCTCAGGGTAGTCCCAACGTCGCGGGCGACTTGCCGAGGCAGGCATCCAGATCGTCGACCACGTTATGCGCCTATTCACCTCATAGTGTAGAATCGCTATGCACCATGTGGATTCGTGTCGTGGTCAAAACGGCCTCTGTTGCGTTGATTTGTCCGGCGCAGTGTCCAGACCGAGATTGCTTAGGACCTACTCATGGCCTCGCTTGCTTTGATTTGTCCTGCGCAATGTTCGGACTGAGGTTACCAGGAATTTATCCACGGCCCCGTATAAAGCGGCATGTCGCGCCGACCGAGTAATACTGCTCTTCATCCATACACAGCCAAACATGCCACCCAAACAGTTCTACCTGCTGGGAGAGCCCAGTAGCACTGCTAGGGAAATTGAAGTGGACTCAACGCTAGATTTCGCTGGGCTCCAGCATCTCGTTGCCGCACATTTTGCTATCGTTAATCCCCATGGTACAGTACTTGATTTCCTTCACCCGAATTTTGTCTGACAGCAAAGCCTTTGGTGCATTCAAACTGACCAAAGCAGGTATTGGACTACAGACTGAGGATGCTATTCTGTATGATGTGCCCGATGTCCTCTCATCTGAAGAACTCATTCGCATCACCATTGATGGAAACCCGGTCAGGGAAATCCCTGGACCAAAGGGCGTGCCGATTATTGGAAACTTCTTCCAGGTTTTCCCAGATCACCTTGGAAATCATATGAGAATGTTTGAGCAATATGGCCCAATCTTCAAGACGAATAGCATGGGGCGTGTCACATATCACACGAATGATCCCGAATTGAACGCAATCATCTTCGCTGAAAGTGACTTCTTCACGAAAAAGATCAATGAGGCACACCCTCTTTATCCGATCAGAAATAAAGAGGCTGGGGTCTTCCTCGGTGACAGCGATACCCCAGAGTGGAGGACAGCCCACAAATTTCTCCCGCCAGCTTTTGGGCCAAAGGCAGTGCGCCATTATGCTCCGACAATGCAGCAAACAGTCGAGGATAGTTTTAAAGTTTTCGATGCTCTAGACGAAGCGGAAGAGGCATTTAATGTGTACCAGTACATGTTGAAGCTAGGCTCGCAGGCAGTAGGCAAGTTGGTGTTGGGTATTGATTTCCAGCACTTCACCTCTGTTAATGCTCCTCCCCACGAATTAATCCTCCTGATTGCTGAATCCCTTGAACTCAACAAGAAAGTGAGTGCCCGGGGCGATTGGTACTCGAAGCTGCCTTTCGGAGACCCCAAGCGCCTGAAAGATCTCAGAGGCCGCGTGTTCGAGCTCATTGACGAATCCATTCAAAATGCTAGCCGTGGTGGGGTTCATGATCTCCCGCTGCAAGAGGCTGCCCTTCAAGCGGATAACGTGATTGACTACGTGATCCGTGCAACTGACAACAAAGGCAACAAGTTACCCAAGACAAGTCTTATGGAGTCCCTGGTAGTAGCCACCGGTGCTGGGTTCACCACCACTAGCTCTCTGCTGTCATGGTTGATTTACAGCCTAGTCACCTATGACGGTATGCAAGAAAGATTACTCCAGGAGCTCGTCGACAACGACATTACCGAAGACACACAGCTTACCGCAGAAATCACTGATCGTCTCGCATTCATGGACAAGTTCATCAAAGAATGCCAGAGAAGACACAATCCATCATTCCAACCTGCGAGAACAGCTAAAGTCGATATGATCTTGCCCGGAGGGTATAAATTACCGGCTGAGGCTGTTGTCGTGGGAGCACTTCATCATTTACACATGAATCCCAAGGCATGGAGTAATCCCAATCGCTTCGATCCTGATCGTTGGGATACAGACGAGGTTAAAAACAGGCACAAGACCTCGTACATCCCCTTTGCGACGGGGCCTCGGATGTGCATTGGCTTCAACTTCGCCCTCCAGGAAGTGAAAATCTTTCTGCCGAAGCTGCTGTATCGTTATAAGTTCACAAAGGAGAACGATGCTGAAATCGAATACGATCCGATGTTCCAACTCATCAGACCGAACAATCTGTACGTGAGGGCCGAGCGAAGGGTGAAATGGCCTCCAAAGACAGACTTCAAGCCCGCGGCTTCATTATAGTGCTTTTCTGTCTGATATTCTTGTATATATTACATTTAATGGCGTGCCTGAGAGGCGTGAAGACATGACTATCTTGAAAAGACTATCTACGCACACCTAGTGTTAGAGTTAGTGGCGTGGACGGCGAGCGATCCAACCGATAAGAGGCCTCAGGATCTCGTCAACAGTCTTAAGTCACCGTTTATCTCTAACTACTGATACTCTCTCTCTCTCTCTCTCTCTCTCTCTCTCTCTCTCTCTCTCTCTCTCTCTCACCCACATACTACGTTCTTCTTGCCTACCCAACCTCACTACAAGGATGATGCATTACAGAGGAGGCTTCAGCCTATGTTCCTGATCACAAAAATCAGTAAGCTACGTATAATTGAAGGGACCTGAGAGACTGATCCAAATAGGTCACGCCGAACTAGCAGATTAGGAAGCAGCAACAACTTGAGTCCGAGGTCAGCGCCGCGGGCCATGGCCCGACACTCAAAAGAGCGACAAACAGGTTCCCTCATCCAAGGGATGCGAAGATGCCACCTAACGGTAGTCCTCCGCGTGGTAACTAGTATATACATGATTGTCATTGCAGGCGACCGAGATTCTACCCGCTGAATCCTGACTCACAGCATACAGTGGCATGTCTAGCATAATTGTCAGTTGATCTTACGGCAAATGATACACGCACGCACGCACGCGCCAAAACTCGACCAGCTCGCTACTATACTCCTCCGTGGATCAAAAGGTAGTAAGGTATGACTTGTCAGGGAAGAAGAAGAAGAAGAAGAAGAAGAAGAAGCTGAAGAAGCTTACTGTCCACCGCCAACTGCGGGCTTGGGTTGCGAATCACCACCTGCGATTGGAACCCGGGCGTCAGAGAGAATTCACAATCCTCCTGATCAGCTCCGCCATTGTACGAATCAGTCCCCGTCCAGACATCAAGATGATATGTTGTTCCAGTTGCCAGTTACTCTCGCACTGTTTGCAAAAATCCTCGTGTATCAAAATTTGCGCGGATACGGCACGTAAATGACCTTGCACAGGTCGAACGGTTCCTGCGCCGTTGCAAAAGTCAGTGGATTGTCGTATGTGCCCGTGCCGCTGGCTTTGTCACCGCGGCCACAGTCGTAGGCAATGGTTGATCCTGGGGGATCATTGTCGGGAAAGCCATAGAAGGTATGGGTGACGTCCGTAATAATTGCCGGGCTGTCGCTGACATTTTTTTTGAAGGAGACACCTGCCCGTGAAACGCTAAGGAGAAAGCTGGCGTGATGAAGTCTCATCGTGATTGGAATAGTACTTGGACTCGAGCTTGGAGATGAAGCGGAGTCAACAATCTGAGAGAAAGGGGAAGGACAAAAAAATAGTAAGAATGGATGACTCCTGGGCATTAGTATATTATGACCGAGTCCATGAGGACAGGATGATGTTGTTGCGGCAAAGTAAACCAGCGATCGCATAATCCTGATTCATCTGGCGCCCACTGCATCCGAGGAGATCTTCACTCCCCCGAACCTTCCCATGCCCAACCTCTTCCCCGGCCCCCCCGCATTGACGGCGCCACTCCCACGTGTTCATATCAGACTGTGTTCGCCGCTTGCGCCTCTAATAACCTATTTCGTTTTCATTTTCGAGTGCTGAGACTACTATAGGTACCAGTATCCCACCTGATTTAGCCTGTGTTCAACGTATCCTGACCGCGGCCTCGTTGAAGGCCTTGGCTTCGATACTGATTTTGTCACGCGGCCAGGCTCTGGCCCCTCAAAAGGATGAAGGCAGGAATTTTGAGTAAGTGGATGGATTAAAAAAGTGTTCAGCTAAAACAAGTTCGGCAAGGGGAACTGAGCAGCAGCCTGAGGGGCAATTTCTCGATGATCGTTGAATAGGATTGCGATCATAGGTGAGATAGCATTCGTGTTGTGTGACCTTGTATGAGTCTGATAAGTAGCTTCAGATCTGGAGTCTTTGGCGCCAGAAGATCGGAAAGGATTTTGTCGATAAAGGGAGATGCATTCTTGCCAGCCAGCGACTGGATAGTTTTGGAGACTATGGGGGAATACTTCAAGAAAATGTAAGCTCGATCCGACGGACCAGCCGATCCTTTGAGCTTTTGTACTTCAACAACTTGTTGATAATATCCTACGTAACCACCAACAACTCTTTCTTCCTAATGTGCGATATGCGCGTTGTTTCGATGAGCAATGGCAGCGCTTGGATCGAAGAATCAATCTTCTGTTTGATCATTATTGCGGTTTGAATGGTGCATCGACATAGACCGGTAGGCAGGTATCGTTGAGCCAAAAGGGTACTACGGGTCACTGGGGTTCATTAGTGACGACCGAAGCCAAGGTAGACGCTACGAGCCCTCACTGGGCGATGAGAATGGTTCGAGTAACTGCATAGGAAAGATAAAGGCGCAAGATAGGTTGTCGTTTACAAATCTGCGTATCCTCTGGTTTCCTCGCTATAGCCTGCTCTAAACGGAAAGGAAGGGGATGCACATCGAATTAGTGCGCGGGCTTCTTTTCCAGCCACTGGGGAGGGGATGAAAGTATGTATATTTGTTGTTGGGACCTAAAGCTGCAGAGTCCAGCAAGAATCTCATCGCTTATACCCTAACAAACAATGACCACAATCATGCATTCAATCACGGAGTGTGCCAAAGAGTCGAGTTAAAAAAAAAAAAGAAAAAAAAAAAAAAAAAACAAAGGGCTAATTTCTATCTTGAGCCGACCAGTGAAAAATATTTTCTGCTTAACTTAACGGCCTCTTAAACCGGCCTTTCGGTTTTGTTCCTCGCTTTTTGACCGACCTTCCATCTTGATCACCGCACAAGTTCACAAGTTCCCATCGCCACATCGCCAGTTGAAAGCTCTCCCGAAGCTACAACATCATTTTGAACGCAGGGTCACGATCATCATGGCATCCCGCATACTGCGTATACTTACCTTGTGTCTTGTCCCGGTTGATTTTGGCACAGTACAGGACATTGAACAGAATCCTGTGAGTTCGAATCAGTTCTGTACGCTCTTTGCCTGTACCCAAGATCGGTCGCTCCACTCACATGAGCCATGCGAACATCAAAAGTCCCAGGATGACCGTGTGCCCTCGTTGATACTGGGGCTTGTCCTGGTCGGGATAATTGAAAGCTGCTTCAGAATAAGTGACGGTTTTAATTAGCGCTGCTGCCCTGTTGGGAAAAACTTACTAGCGAGGAGCCCTCCACAGTTCGCAATTGTCAGCTGCGTGGCAGACGTGGTGGCGCGCTTATAATGTCCAGCAGAGTTATTTGAGTTCCAGACCAAGATACATGGAACGCTACTATAAAGCCCAGTTGCCATGAGACAAGTCATTGCATATTTGGCTGATGGCGAGTAAATGTTTGCAATCGCGCCGTATCCGATTATAGCGATTGGCAAGGTAAAAAGCATTACGACGCCTCGCAGCTGTAACCGATCCGATACAACAGCTACAATAACTAAGCGCGGCTTAGTATTGTATTGGGAACAAAAAGATATATTCGAAAGCTCACCAGTCACAACGGTGGCAACAGCATACGGTATAACAGTCCAGAGTTGAACCTGGTTCGGATCTCGGGCGAACCCACTTTCCTCGATGATTGTGGGAAGCTGGATAATGCAACAGAGATTGCAGTCATAATCAAGTTAACGGGAAGTAGGCAGAGAGAGAAAGAGAGATGGCAATAAAGTTTACTTACGAACAACCCGAACGAGTACAGCCCCGAAAGAATTGAGAAATAGGCAGTAGCAGACAACCACATTCGCAGGTCTAGGAGTCCCCGTCGCACTTCAGTCCACTTTAGGGTCTCTTGTTCATTTTCTGTTGTCCTGGCCTCGAGTGTTAGTCCGTTTGGGAAATATAGCAATACGAAATGTACTAGATGCCGAAACTTACGCATACTCGACTGAAGGAGCGTCGAGCATAAACCTGTCAAGAGCAAATGCTCGTTCCTCTTGAGTCAAGAAAGATGCCGTTTCCAAATTATTCGGAAGTAGAAAGTAGCTCAGCCCACCCACTGAGAATGTCTGTATAGTATATTAGAGAGGATGGACCCGCCTGTCTATGAATTGATAGCACTCACCAATAGGCCCTCGATGATCATGATCCACCGCCATCCTGCAAGCTCGCTTCCGTGGCCAATTTGCGCTAGTCCACGCGCCAGAAGACCTTGAGCCTGTCAGTCAGAGACCCTACACGAATGCCTAAAGGTCGTTTTTCTGAGTACCCCCAGTAGATTCGCTCACCTCCAAACGCTCCTGATAAGGAAGCTGCAGTATAGAAAACTCCGATGCGCAAGGCCAAATCGTTTCGTCTGTAAAAGAAAGACAGATACAGAATCTCGAAGGACACAAGTCAGTTAGCCTGGATTATACTAAGACAAAAGGCTCATACAAAACCCACAATTCCGGGAAGCAGTCCGGCTTCGGCGATCCCCAAGAGGGCTCGAACAACGACGAAGCCAGCAAAGTTCTGCACGAAGCCCAAGCACATCGTGAAGATGCCCCATACCATTGTCAGAAGCGGCAACCAGACTTTGGGTGAAGCCTTTCTGATGATCAGATTACTGGGGAGCTCGCTGGTTGACGTTCCATATTATGTAGCCGAATTAGTCCCAGCTAGCGAGTGAGGCACACAAAGTGAATCATTGTGAAAGATAGCACGAGAATGAGAAGGTTCACGGCTGTTGTATCGGAGATTTTCTCACCAAAATATGTACATCGCGTAGAAGACGGTCAGGCCTATGTCGTACTGATGGCCAGTGATATTGATGTCATTCTCCAGGCCAAGTATTTTTCCATTGCCTACGTTGGTTCGATCGAGGAACGAGCAAAGGAAAAGGCCGGATAGGGTTGGGAGGAGCCTAGGGGATTGTTGAGTGACCAAATTCAGAGTTAACATCGAAGGAATAAGTCTACCTGCAGTCGATCTTGAACAGGAGATTCCGTACCCATCGCTGATGCACTTCTTCGCTGCAGGCTTCTTCCACGGAAGATCGCTGCTTGGCTTCATGATGTTCCATTGTTTGCATGCTCTCGAATTTGAACGTGAAGCAAGATTACTAACAATCAACCGTGAATCGAAGTGGGGTGGGAGAAGTAAGAAGAAAAGAGGCTGCTGGCCATGCAAGCTGTAAGGGAGGCACCACTTATATAAGCTGACACCTAATTCTACTGTCCCTTCACTGAAGAAGGAAGGACCTATCAAGTACCTAGGTAGGTATCATCTTGGTATAAGGTATACATGCAATGATTCATCAGCTGAAGAAGGAATGAACCGTTGTTTCTCCGCAGTTTTCATCCCCGCAGTGCCTTCCCCAAATCCGTTTGCTGTGCTTGCTTGAGTATTCTATCCGCCTCGGCATTTAGATGCATGACAAGGTTAAGTACATGTAAAGTACTATAAAGAAATTGATCATGTGCGGTCCCCATTTTCTGCAGGACGCGTATAATTCTTGCTGGCTCCTTCCCTATATCCCCTTGGCACTGGACGCCAATCACTCCATAATTTCGAGATGCTCTGCGACAGCAAAAGTAGTGCCCGTCTTAACCTGTACCTCCTCGACTTCTGCCCCCAGAGCAAGCTCTGTGAGGAGGAGCTCGCCCTTTGCCCGATCCACCTGGAACACACACTGACCACCCCAGTTAGCTGCCTAGCTGCCAGAAGCTCAGGAGACAGGTCCTTGAACTCACCAGCTCTGTGATGATCGTGCTGACGCAGTTTGCTCCCGTCAGAGGAAGGCCGCATTGAGATACGATTTTGGGTGAGCCGTCTCTTGCTGTATGGCTTGTGGTTACCACAATCTTGGTATGATCCGGGTTGGAGACCAAGTCCATGGCCCCTCCCATCCCCTTAAAGACCTTGCCGGGGATCGTATAATTTGCGAGATCGCCGTTAGCGCTGACCTGTAGAGCCTGTGGAATGGAGGTGTGAATCCAAGCTGTCCACCAAATTCGAAGCCATGGCGGTTCATACGTACCCCAAGAATGGAGACATCCACATGTCCTCCACGGATCATGCCGAACGACTCAGTGCTATCGAAGATCGCGGCGCCTGGAACGAGAGTGATTGTCTCTTTGCCTGCATTTATGATTTCCCTAAAAGATTCCGGTAAGAAACACCAGACATGCTCTGCTGGTATCTTGGAGTGAGCCACTTACGGATCGACCTCTTCCTCTGTAGGATACTGGCCCTATTCTAACAGTTAGCCCACCCAGCCTCGAAAGCATAGCTGATGGAGATTTCTTACCATGCCAAGGACCCATTTTCGGACTGCACCCAGACCCTCACATCACTTCTCACAAATGAGGGCGCAAGGGTTGGGATCCCTGTGTCTCTTCAGTTTTGTGATTGGCCATAGTTGAGCCACCTACCGACCTAGGTTCACATAGTAACCCTGCTTCAGCTCCTTCGCAGCTCTCTTCGCAATGCGATTCCTTTGAATTGTTGACGGATCTTTGGGACTTTAATGGCGTTTTTATCATCATCTGATCTCAGCTTCTTGATCTCTATATGCTTCTCGGTGGTGGCGGGGACAATCCGATCGACAAAGATTCCCCCGGAAGATCGACATTATTGGGGTCAAATGAACCGACGGGGACGATATTCTCAGCTTCAACTATAGTGAGGGTGGCTGCTCTCGCCATGATTGGGCCGAATGTTTTGGTAGTATAGCTAGAGCATGGTTCAATAGTCAGCATCTCACGTTTTGTGTCCCAGAGATTCCTCGGAGGGCGCACCGATATACACAGTTCCCCGTTTCATCTACTTTTCACGCTCTGAGAATCGCCACATCTCCATTCAGTGCAGTCTCCATCAGATAGGTCTTGCCCTTGAATATCCTAGTTTCTCGTGGCTTTCCATGCTCAAGCACCTTTCCCTGTTCATTCAGCCGAACGGGGATCGCCCCATCTTGTGATAGAGTATCTATAGAATCCAAGTCAATGAGCATCATGAACTAGCATTATGAAAGGTACACTAATATCACTCTAGTAGCAAGGAGAATAGAAAGCAACCTACGTGCACCTGTGGAAGTGTAGAAGGCTGGAATGCCAGCGCCACCGGCGCGCAACCTCTCAGCCAGTGTTCCTTGCGGGGTAAGCTCAATCGAAATCTCGCCAGACAGGTATTCCTGCTGGACTACCTTGTTGTTACCAAGATAAGAGAGAACAAGTCGATCCACCTGATTTGCCTCGATAAGTCTTGAAAGCCCTCTCGAAGCAATTCCGGCGTTATTGAGAATTGCGGTTAGCGAGTGTAAATTGTCTGCACCTCGGCGATTAATGGCGGAAATCAGGGTCTCTAGTTTTACGGTCAGTCGCTCAAGTTGAAGCACGAGTCTACTTGAGGATTCACATTACCTGCAACACCACAAAGGCCAAAGCCTGAACTGAGGATGGTCGACCCGGCTTTCAGATCGGCCACGGCCTGGTCTGCACTTTTGAACAATTTGGAACCCCCACGATCAATCCTTGGGGCCCTGGAAATAGCGCCATCCGCGACCGTCGAATAGCTAGCAGAAGCTGAGGCCTTGCTACCTGGGAAGAGTCGGAGGGTAGCTTGTCGCGGTCGCGGGAGGACCGGCGGTCGAGCAGCGAAATTTGTCCTTCGCGACAAAGTCAATGCCGGGATTCCGAAATTTGGCATATTCAAGAATTCTTTCAGCCATTTTGCGCAAGAAAATCGAAGTAGTTCTCGAGTGGGCTAGAGAAGAGAGCTAGACAGTACTTAAGTAACTTGGGCGGGCGGCATGGATCCTTCCTTCGGCAGCTATTTCTGGAAGCCAATATGTGTGATTCTTGTCTATGATGTAATCAATCAATGGGCAGAACCACGATGTGAAATCACTAGTAGTCCCGATACATTTTGTAGCCACCAACAGAAAAATTATAGTATATCATATGCTGCTAAATTCGGCCGCAATGCTGCTTCCAAGATCAAGCCATTCCCAATGCATCAAGTCATCCGTAGGAACACCCGGAACACTCGTCCCGAATGCCGTGTCCACCTGGTTGACGGTGTCAATGATTTGGTTGTCCGACATGGCGGAGAATCGAATAGGTTCGGACCAGGATACAGGGATGAAACAGGATGATTCCTGCGTTCTGATGACTGACTCATATGGATCCATCGTCATCGGTGGCTGCAGCCTTCCGGAGTGGGTTAGTGGTCGCGTTTCAATTGAGTCCTCATGTTGTAAGCTCAAAGGAAAACGTCGAACAAGCTCCCGTAAGAATCTGCCATATACTAGGGAAGCCCCGTTCCTATGGCTTGGAGTAGCGCCGATTCGTTCCAGCACCGCCGCGGCTTCTTCGATCAATTTACGCACGCTAGGGGCCAGGCTGGATCTGCTATCTGCAGGCATAGCACTCAAGCTTAATGCCGAGCATGCTGCAAAAGAAATCATGATAACAGTGTTGTTTGGCATGGACTTCAACCGTGACTCACCCTGGATAGCTGCCCTTAGGACGTTCAACGCAGACGATAGCCCGGCTGCGCGGAAGAAGCGTTTCACTTCGAGTGGCGCGGTGGGGTGATTGATAACGTGTGATAATGTTGACAGCCTCGTGTGTATAAGTAGAATCTCAACGTAAGGTGGAAATGCTTGGTATGATATTAGCATCTCGGCTTACTGAGGGAATGAGCACGAGCGTAGCAAAAGTGCTTACATTGATCTTCCACAATAGCAGGAGCCCAGGTCTCATGCCATTGATGGTAAAAATCCTCAATAAGTTTTTTGATCCTATGTGTCGAAGGTCAGCATATGCTCCAGGTACCTGTTCAGCATACGTACAGTTGAGCGGCTCCAGAGCCAGTGTCCATGACCCGATATCTATTGCAATGGGATTTAACTTGTTTGAATAGCCCATCCTAGTAAGCGGGGCGATTTCCGTTAGAAGCCTCTTGTAAGTGAGTTATAAATGACAAATACCACGGAGGGGAACCAACCAAGTCCCTGCGAAGGACAGCGATAGAATTCATTGGACCATCGTGAGAATCAGCGATATCAGAAAAGTGCCACTTGTCACAGTTCTCGATAAGTGCCGTTATAGGCACTGTATAGCTTCTCCCTCGGGCCAAACATACACTGCAAGAGTTATTTAGAGTGCTGTAGAACAAAGGACGTTCTCGAGTGAGGGCTTGATGGATAGAAAGCTTACCCTCGTTCGAGTACGAAAAGTGCGACCCATGCCCTCTCGCGTCGACGTAGAAGCCTTCGACCCCACACAGAGTCTGGATCCACATCACCGAAGCCATCCATCTGTAGTGCTCTCTTCGCATCAATGCATTCCGCCTTGGCAAGTCTTCTGAAAAGACTGGCATCAAAGCTTGTTGAAGGAAGTACAACTTTATCCAGCGATAAATCCAATGCAGCAGTCAAAGCAGCAGCCATGTAAATGCAGGTATCGTCGTCACCTAGACAGTTCCCAGCATCCATCCATGGAACATTTACCATGAAAGCCAGCACTATTTCAACTGATTTATGACGCTGGGTGATGACGTTATGGGCTAGGGATGCACGATGTCTAGACAATCTCTTCGATAATGCTGCGGCTGTGGGCAAGAACAAGGCCGCTGCAGCTATTATTGAGGTAAACAGGAACGCAGACTGCGAACGGACAAATGACACATTATGCACGATGGAATCGAGGCCCCAGCGACTTTGGGCGAGGTTGCGATAGAAGCTGGGGGGAGGCGGTTAGTGGATCGGGTTGTTGGGGCGGAATTGAGATTGCCATCGAACATACTACGAGAAGAGTGACTCTGCTTCATCGATTGTAACGAGCCCCAGCTCAATGGGGTCCACAGTTGGACCAATATCCAAATTTGCGCGAGTGAGGACAAAGAAAGAGGTTGCGCAAGCCGCGGCGTCGCCATTCTCATTGGTATTGTATATGCCCGAGGGCTGAAATGATGCCGAGGATGTTGCTCTCTGTACATTGTGCGTGTCGTCCGGTGATAGCTGCAAGTCGGAGGCACGTGCGAGTAGTTGCAAGGGATTTTCTGCATCATCTAATGACAACCCATCTCCCGGGTTATCGTATTCCGGTGCTGGTGAGCCGGACGATCGCTCCGGTTCTTCTGATAGATCATCCGTTTCGCAGGCTGGATTTCCTCTTTGGATATTGTCGAGCAGCCCTCGAAGGCTCGAAATCACATTCTGGGCACCTTCAGCTCGGGGCCGCTTGATGACCTGTTCAATCTGATGCAGTGCCTTTTCCAGCCCTTTGCGTTTGCTGACGTGCTTGCGTCAGTACGTGCTGTCATTACAAGGGTCACTTACACGTTACACTCACTTTCCAATCCCTTTGCGTCTGCCGACGTGGTGATTTGGAACGACACATTCCACATCAGCCTGTCTGCATCGATCGCAAGGTGATGTTCCATCTTTACTTCGATTGCATCGAACCTTGCTTCTCCTACAGTTCAAACAGGCGGCCTGCCGACCCTGAGACATTGGTTTTGTACTAGAGTAAGAAATACTAATCTATTAATGAGTATTGTCAACGAAATGAGGCTACTAAGAAGGTGCTTCGGAACACGATATTGATTCCTTTGGTGGTTGGTGGTAGCTAACTGACATCTCTGTGTGGGGAAACTCGCTTATAGGCTTGAGTCACGTGGCCAGACTACTACATATATCTATATAAATCATAAAAAGAATTTGAAGAATATAAAATATATGCTGAAAAAAAATTCAGACTTGACTTAAACAGTCAACTAAGACATACAAACCTAATTTATAATATTCTAACTAATCAGAACCGCTGTTTAGGAACCCTCTGAAAGCTAGGACCTACTTAGTATACGGCTCTATACTTACACACGTCACAACAATATGTAAGTACGTTCTCTAAAATGTAAATGACGTACTGTACCAAAAGTTGATTGAAAGAGTGTTTCTCTGGAGTGGCTAAACAATAATATGTGCATTACTGAGTTCATGGTTCTGATTTCCAAATTCCAAACTAGGCCATGAATCGAATGGCTTTCTATGTATTTTGACGGAGCTCCTAGGCTCGTACTGAAAGTCGACACTCCTTTATCTAAAGCGAAACCAGCTGCTTCCTCGAGTAAAGAACATACTACTGGCGGCTTCAGGGGTTGGGAAGTCGGAGGAACTTTTCCTTCAAGGCGAAAACTTCAAATGAATGGGACATACACTGAAATGGTTTGGAATGGATCGTGGAAAGGTCCACAACATCGGTATCCGTGCCTACAAAATCAGCGCGCCATTGGATTCAGTTGTATCATAGAGTAAGCTGCTGCTGCACATGACTCATGGTAATCCAGGCATCCTGGCCCTTTGCGATGGACGGTAAAGAAGATTGCGTCCTGCCCAGAGAGCTTGGCTCGGATCATTTGCAATGCAAGCGGGGTAAGCCCAATTCCGATGACAAAGGTTCTGTGCATTTCATTTCCTTCCAAAATGCATTCAACGAGCTCGGTAAACCGCACCAACCTCTTGTTTGTTGAACGGGGTAGCTGGAGCTAAGATCGGCGCCCGTGGTAACAAGACCCTGAGGAATGCCCTGGCAGAGGAAAGAGAGACCTTTGCAGTTGGCCTCTAATTCTGGAAGTCTAGAGTCTAATGCAGGTGAATGAAAAACCAAGGGGACATCGAGTCTCTTACAGCGGAATCCTCTCTCTTTGATCAACCGGGCCAGTTAGTCCACTCATTCGATTGGCCCCGACACAACAGAATCCGTGACACTATTGTCGCAGGCGACTATCAACTGAGAGGGGCCGACCTCTGAATAATCTCCTTGATAGAAAAAGCCAAGGTATTGCATGCAAGCATAGTAGACTCTCCAGGTTGACACTTCGACGCCATCAATTGTGCGCGCTGCACAACGAGCAACAAAGCAACGTGTATTGACAGAGTCCAACGTCTTCTAAAGATCGGCGTCGTCGCATAGACATTGCTCCATGTGGCTTGTAGAGCGACATCATCGACGTCTGGGCGCAGGTGTGATTTGTCTTGTGCGGCATAGTAGCCTGGTAGATGCGCACTCAAAGCTAGTATACCCTCCTGGAGCGGCTTGTATGGAAAGGCTTCTTCGATCTGTGAGGGCTGTACACCGTAGAAGACTGCTAGTTCTGGCATAATTTGGCAATGCTATGGTTATTGATGTTGTGCAAATGGAGAACCTATCTGGGTAATGCTGCATTTCGGCCCAGCTTCGTCGTTCACTTTGTCCAAAACGTTCCAGCCTCTGGTCTTTGCCTCTTGATTCTCCGCGACATCAGTAAATTTTTGTGTGCCGTGACTATCCTCGAATCTATTATCGTCGGGGCACATCATTGCTCTGGCGCTCTCCATCGTTGAAGACGTGTTCAATTCGGGTCAGGGTACAAGTATCAGGTGGGCCGATGGGACTACTTGTCCCGTATGCCAATTGATGTCGAATAATGTATTTGATCTAGCAGATCTTCAGGCACTGGTCCTGATGGAGCTAACTCGATCCATTTTTTTTTCTGTCTATTGCTTCTTTTTCTTTTCTTTCCTTGCCTTTTTCTTATCCTTTTTATTTTTATTTTTATTTTTTTAATTTTTTTTTGTGGTTCGTAGTCCGAAGTCTGTTGATGCACTAGGTGATCCGATTTACCGTCGTCGTCCAAGCCGTCTCGAGAGAATTGCGATCATTCATAGACTTACCTCTTTACACTACACGTTCCCTTTCACGACTGACTAGTAAGATGTTGATTGCCGCTTCATGTATAGTCCGGAGCTCCAACAACAGATGCAGGGGCTCCGAGCACCACATGACGAAATCTTGCCAACTGGCCAAGCACGACAATCGACGCAGTGACAACTTAGTGACGGAGATCAAGACAGTCGACCCGAGAAGCCTATTCCTCATTTTGAAATATTAACTCAGTGATGTTACATATTGTTCGGAAGTGATGGCTCATTCTGCTCTAATTCCCCTGCGGCGCCGGCCAGTCTTTCGCGCTTGTGTTGTAACAGTCCCGTACGCAAGGTTGTCTCATGTAGGCAGCTGTTGTGGACGGCACGGCGCCTAAGAGATCCTTCAAAGCTTAGATGGTGCCGATGTGCAGCTCGCGTCGGTTAGACCCTCGCTAGATCAACCCCCACCAGACTGGTAAGCTGACGATAATCCCGCACTTAAACCTCGGGTTAGCGGCAGCAAGTGTGTAGGTAGGCAGACGTGCCAGCAGGCCACGTGTACGGCGGAACAGACTAATGTGTCCCAACAAGATGATGTTGTTATCTATCGGTATCTCAACACCTGATGTGTTTCACGAAGAGTATGTTACCCTTACATCTTGTGTCAGCAAACGGTGCTCAAATCTAGCTCAATATACTCAACCAGTTCAGTTGACGGCTTCCTTCATTCGAACGAATCGTTTCTTAGAGGGAGCCATATCTTTCCGAGCTACATTTACCGGCTTTGTGACTGATTATCTCCCTTGCTGCTGGTGACTCACTAGGTAGATCAGCTACAACGATGGTGTCGGTGAACATCCATAGAGCGGACGACGACAACTCCCGGCTAGAATTCAAGCAGACGCAAGAGGCTGGCGTTGCGCATTCAGAACAAGAGGTTGACCCTAGCAAGGAGACAACACCCACTCCAGTATCGCAGGATTCCCCGAGTCTCCGAGGCGTCCAGTTGATCGTTCTGTTATCGTGCCTTTTCCTTGAAATCCTACCATTGGATTTGTATGTATCTTGGCCGTGCAGTAGGAGCCTTACTATGCAAATCAACAAAGAGTGTGGACAATATTCACAAGGCCTGTAGGTCAGCAGTTGCAGTGGTACCCTTCTTGTGATTCTCACCGACCATCTCGACGCTCTTCGGGATATTGGTTGGTACCAAACAACATAGTGAGTATTCCACGAACGCGTCATGATTCTACCTCCTCGTACTGCCAGGCTAATCGTGCTTAACAACACTATAGTAAATAGCTGGCAGTCTTCAGCCTGGCGATGAGTGTGTGTGAAGGGAAGGCGAAGCAAAGGCGGAGAAAAATAGCGTTAAAGATATGTGCTAGGATACTGTTATAAACTCATGTACTGAGAAGCAATAAAAAAGCCGAACGCGGGGGTTGAACCCGCAACCTTGAGATTAAGAGTCTCACGCTCTGCCGATTGAGCTAGCCCGGCTATATTTTATTTAGTTTTAAACAAGGTCTAAAATATAAAGAAATTTTTGAAGAAAGTTTCCTAATTTCCATTATAATTCTAGAGGAACTAGCACAGACAGGCACTGCATTTCTTTCTTTATCAACTCACACCATCAGGAGCCTTACTGTGGTGGTGCTGGGTCAAACAGTATCTACCCGCAAGAAATCACCAAGGTATATGCGGTGGGAAATTATATGATGTGAATGGCATGGTACGCCGAGAGGAGTGCAACACTGGCATGGGAGACCCCAAGAGCGACGCTTAGCAGTGATTTATGACCCAACTGTTGACAATATCATCTAGGCCGTTCTGCCACTTGTGTGCAGTACATACATACATCGCGACCTCTCAGCGCACTAAAGATTGAACATAGGATAGCCGGTAACACCTCAGGGTAGCAACCCAGCAACAAGCTGTGACAAATGGAAATAGATATGCCGATTGCTTGCGCCCGTTCTAGCGCCAGCGAATTCGCCCAGGAAAGAAGAAGGATTAGCAAACATCGAGCAGATAAATAGCGCTCAGAATATGCATCTAGTTTGCGGCCCGCAGAGCTCTTAGCCTAGCACCCAGACCATCCTCAAGTTCCGAGTCGACTTGCTTTTGATCCTTGACTTCCTCCTTGGGGACAGTATCTTGTTCGAGAGCTATGCGCAGATCTACACCAGCATCGTCCGCAAGTTGCTCCATCAAGCGATCAACTTCGGCCTCACCCTCCGCACCGTATTCCTGCATCGAAACACCCTGAGCGACATCTTCTATGGCACTGCTAGCAATCTTGAAATCCTCGGAGCGAGCCAGGAAATTGTTTGCGTGCGAGACCAGATTTTCTAGGTTGACACTCTTCGAAGCCGCATCTAGCCCCCTTGATGCCAAAGCAAGAGTCCGGGAGGTATCTCGCGTACTTTGAGCCGCCTTGAGTTCGTTGATAATGACATCTGCTCGCGCAGCCTCCGCACGGAGAGTCACCTGTCTTCTCTTCTCTCGTACAGCAGAGGCAGCATGGATGCGAGCGATCTGGAACTCTCTATTTTTCATCGCTTTGTCGGCCTTTGCCTTCTCGGATTTGAATGTCGCTTCAGCGCGTGCAGATTCCTTCTTCAAGCGATTGGAATGCAGCTATAAATATAATGAGGATCTCCCGTGAGTTCAGGTAGAGGACACAAAATAGAATAGGTACGGCCACAGACAAGGCGATCGCGGCTATAACAACTGCGGAGACAAAGATGTGAACTCACTTTGACATTAGTACGAGCCTCGAAAATCGGATCCTTTCGAACCATATTGGGCAATATGTAGACAGGCACTAATTGATATCACTTGAAGGCAGTCAGTAAAATGAGGACTCGAGACCAAATGGACAACACTTTACGAGGACAAACTAGGCAGGTTTCCGAGAAGGTGCAACGATAGCGGCGGGGATTTAGCGTGGCAACGTCATCCCGATTGCCGTATCGACACGTTTTGCTATGCGGGCACAGTAACTCCGGTTACCGACTAATAGACAGAGCGAAAAGGCCGGGGGGCCCGAATTTTACACATAGTCAAGCTAGGTATTTACACTCATGCGTTCAATCTGCAAAAGTACTAGATCTGTCTACTAGACCATTCTTTGATCGATGTATTTATATTCAGAGCGTGGATACGACCATCAGATGCGAATATGATTTTTGTGAATGTTGGCGAAAGACCGAGAGCAAAGAAAAAAAGAAAAAAAAAAAAAAAAACCAAAATAAGATCATGTGCCAAATCGAATGCCCCCAGATAACGCCCATGCCGGTCACGACCCGTGATCATATCATAGCTAAATGCAGAAGGTTGAGTCATCCCAGAGACAAAACTTCATGGCGATGTGACTACAATGTGACATCCATCGTATCGTCTCCAGCATCGACTGCACCCTGTCGCTCCGGATCAGGGGCAACAACTCCTCTTCCTCTACCGGCGAGCAACTCACGCCTAACCTCGGGTCCGATGTCCTTGTGACCTCGAACCAAGAGCAAATCTAGGAGAGCCTCTCGTTGATCCTCAGTAATATCGTTGCGATAGCGCTGGGCGAACACGAGCAACGACTGGTGCCACAGAACAGGAAGTTTATACGCCTTGGCGTCACGGCTAGGGACGTCAGTCATCATCGACTCGTCCGCATTTTCGTTTGCGCGGAATCGCAGGAAGTGAAAGACGAGCGCATCAATGACCTTGTATGGGAGCGCGTATTTCTTCTCCAAGAAGATGCGGATGAAGACATTCACCGCACCAGTACTCTCTAAAGATCGCAGGGACTGTTCCGCAGCAAGGTCACACATACGAAGCAAAGCAGCCGCCGAATGCAGAACCGGAATTGAAACCCGAGCAATGACGGAGGAGACAATGTGGGCCTCACGAAGGGTACATGTTCCGCTCGAGACCAAAGGAAACAACAGCCCCTTGAAGAAGCAAGCAGGCTTGTAAAGTGCCTTTTTCATGGCATTGTAGGTATGAACGTTGAGCTTCTTGGTCTCGTGAATCTCTTCACGCACACGATCAAGCAATACTGTCGAGATAAATTCCTGTGCAACTGCAGGCTTCGAGGAAATGAAGATTCTTGTACCGGCATAAACGGCGTTGGCAGACCAAGATTCTGGGCGAGTGATCGACAGAAGAGTGGGCCAGTTGGGAACAGACGGGAGAATCTTGAATGGTTTCGGGAGGGGACCAGACTTGTAGCGAGAAAGAATCATTCCGACCCTAATTTGTTGTTAGCATGGGGAGGTACATCGTAAGGCCTGAATAAAAAATCTCACTTCTCATAAACTTCGACCGCTTTCGCAGGGATCTGCACAGCATCTTCTGGCAGCCCTCCACCTTGAATGAATTGTCCGCCTTCGCCGGCCTGCCTGGCTTCATGTTCTGCGATCTTCTCGAGGATCAAGTCGGCAAGATTCGTAGTCTGACCCTCGGCGTTCGGATCACGGGGATTGAAAATGGGATCTTCATCTCCTCCTGGAACGAACTTATGAAACATGTCAAGGTCGTTAGGGTCGACCTCCTAAGTGAATAAGTTAGTATATACACAATTACTCTGATCCCCAGAGGACAGAGAACGGCCGAGGAACATACCACTTCTTCTACTTCCTCCACATCGTCCCATTGCTCGTCCTGAAACTGCTCGTCATCAGAGAGCAACTCTTCGTCATCCAGCCGAGACTCGAAGTCAAAAGCAGTATTCAGCTTGTCTGTAGCGGAACCCATTGAGACTTTTCGCTCTGCGGCATCCTCCTCCGCCAATTCCTGCCCGATTTGCAAGATCTTGCGAGACATCTTTGCATCGATAAATCTCTCGCTGTCTTCCTGATCCTCATCTTGACGGGACTTGCGATTGGCCTTTTTGGTTGCTTGTGTTCTCAAATGGCCCGCTGGTGTTAACATATCCTCAGCCAGAGGATTGTGCCGGCGAGCGGCGGCGGAGCGAGAAGACGCTGCTTTAGGCATGGTGGGACACTTTGGACTTTCGCTGGGAAAGTCGAATACGTGCTGATTCTCTCAGAATATAGAAAAAGAAGTCGATGCGCTAGGTCAACACGCATGGAGCGAGTGTTACTCTCTCTATATCATTCTGACAAAATGTGTGTAAATTTCATGATCATGTGACCTTTTCACCTTTTTGCCGTGTTTGTGCTTCGACCGCCTAAGATCTTGTACCAATAGTGGCTATTCTAGCTTACCGCCTCTGCCCCTCTTCTCTTCTCAAACAACATTCCAAGTTCTGTCTGAAGAATTGCCGGCATAACCTATTTCACCGCTTCCAAAGGCTGTCTCATTCGATCACTTTCCGCCCTGGCAACTTGACCGTCGAAGAACCTGTAGTCTCGAAAATTGTGCTTGTCCCCTGAATACTGTCAGGCCAATCTCATCAATATTCAGCGGTGACAAGTTAAATCTCTCCAGACTCAATGCTTAGTTCAGAAATCTCGGAACAACCTATACAGAACAAACAGCCTGGTCTGTTTGTCAACATCAAGGGTAAGTCGCTCCTGACATTCAATAAAGCACTGCTAGCTCCGTGTATTGGTACAATACTTTAGCACCCTGTGGGAACCTGCGTCTTGTTCGCTCTTCAATATTTCAACGTATTTGGGTTTATGCTTTGCTTCTGCAATCCTGTCATGCATCTAACAAGTCATGGTCCCTCGATTACAGTCGCCAGTGCACCCCAACGAGCCACCTGGATGAATGGACGTTAGCAAACCTACTCTGGCTGTCACAACGAATATCCTCAATATAAGACTCAAAGAATCTAATGCGACTCCAGCCGAAGGAGGATTCCATACGGACCCTCCCTAATACTTTTGCGACAGTATCTCACCCCAAGCTGCCTTCATATTGCGAGACTCCTTGCAGCAATGGCATCTACGCAACAAACAGGTTCCGCGCTCCCCTTCAATGTGGACTCTCCAACCATGTCCTCTGTGGGCACATCATTCGGCGGGACCTTAGCAGACACGAATGTCAGGTCCTCTCCTGCGCCGCCTAGCAACGCATCCGCACAGGCCGATGGTACGAGGTCGAAACGCACAAAACGAGACAGTCGCAAGAAGCGCGATGCCAAAGGCTTGGATCAAGAAACACAACCCGCCAAAAAGAGGGCCGTTGCTGTTCCGAGCACTGCGCTTCCGAGCTCGGAATTAAGTATATTACGACCTTTGTTACTTGCCGAACCCCGTGCCTCGGACTTGTTACCTCCGCAGCCCCGACAAATGAATTTTGTCAACAGGAAAAGATCAGAAATAATCGGTCAGAGCTGGGATTTTTATGAGGTTGTCGACAAGCTTACGAACAAGAATGGCTTCCATTATAGCTATGCAATAGCCGACCCGGGCTTTCCACACATCAAATATCGACAAACTGATGTCTCACCTTATCATGCTCGGTTCAGTTTTGAAGACTCGCCGGCTGCGATTCTCTTCAGCGAAGATGCTCGTGCGGTAACGACCAACGAGCCATGGCATACCGCGCGAGCTAACGTGTGCGCGCGAGAAGGGTCATATTATTACGAGGCGCGCATAGTAAGTGGTGTTTTGAATGAGCCCCAATCCATCACATCAGGAAATCCTGGCGTAACGGCACGAGGCCATGTCCGGCTCGGATTCGCCCGAAGGGAGGCTGATCTCGATGTCAATATTGGAATTGACTGCTATGGCTACGGTATTCGTGATGTAAATGGCGAGGTGGTGAATCGCATGCGCTGTGAATATTTTTTCCCCAAGGGGGAATCTATTCGAGAAGGGGATGTCATTGGGCTTCTGATCACATTGCCCCCTCTGGCACTTCACAAAAGAATCGTTGAAGGCACATATGAACCCAATGCCGACGGCGATGCTTCGAGGACGAGTTTCAATCCGTCCTTCATCACAAACATCATACGTGACCGCATCCCGTTCCACTACAAGTCCGATTTTTGCTGGCAGCAATCGAACGTATTCTCCACGAAACAGTTGCGAGATTATGCGTTCAACCTCAAAGAAACGCCAACGTTCGGTCCGCCTTCGCCACTCAATGGTGAAGATGCATCTTTACGTACCCTTCCTGGTTCCAGTATCACAATATTCAAGAACGGAGTCAAGATGGGCACGCCCTTCAAAGAGCTGTATGCCTTTCTCCCACCAGCGAGCAGATTGGCCAATGGCACCAATAATTTGGGAATTGGTGAACGAGAGAACGCAGACGATGGAATGATTGGTTACTACCCTGCTGTCAGTTGTTATGGTGGAGGGGCTGTTGAATGCCGCTTCGAAGGTCCATGGTGGTTTGGCCCGCCAGCTGAAACTGAAAATGACGAACCAGTGTACGGAATAGGAGAGCGCTTCAACGAACAAATAGTCGAAGATGTTGTTGCTGATATTGTTGATGAAGTGGAAGCAATGTGCGCCTGGGGCGGTGTGGACGGCAATGTCGTCAGAACCGCTGAACTAGATGGCTCCAGTACTGGAACTGTTATTGGGGGCTCGGATGTGCTAAAGGGGGGCGTAGAGGCCGCGTACGAATCTGCTATACCCCCCAGTTCTGGAGTTCATGATGCGAATCTGGCGAACGCCGTTACCCCGGAGCCCGCCAGTGTCGGTGAAAATGACCCCGGCCATATCGCTTTTGAAGATGCGATGAGCCTTGATACTGCGGGTACCCCAAATCCAGAGATGCAATTGACTACAGCGCCAGAAACCGCGGCGGGCGATGGAGATATGGAAATGTCGTGAACAATGCTATGTCATATTTGAACCCTGACCATACCCATTGTGATCATTGCACTTAAAGCAAGTCCCTAAGCCCTTGATTTGCATGTCGCATGAGACTACTCGGCACTGGATGCAAGTGCCTAGATCTTCTTACGACCATGACTGGAATCATCATTGTGCCCCCATGAAGACTTTGCATACTGTACTACGTCGGGTCCACGAGTCACGAGTGGCTTCTCCTTTGATGCAACCATCAAGTCTGAGATGACATCACAAAGGTTCTTTTCGTGGGAAACTGATGTCTATCACATCTTAAATTGATCTCTAGAAGCGCTTACCGGAGAGTAATTCGGCCACTTTCAAGACTAGTGCGTCATCGCCATACTGGCCTATTATCTGAACGCCGGCCAAGCTCTCGGTGCTTTCTAATATTACGGGTACCGAGACAGCCGGGAGACCTGCCAAGCTGGCAGGCACCGTGAAAACATCATTTGTGTAAGCATCCAAGGGATTCGCCCTTTCGCCCATAAGGCTCGACAGTGTTGGCGGCGAAGACGGTGCCGTCGGGCATATCAGAACATCAACTTGAGCTTGACTCTTCTCGGGTTCCACATCACCTCCATCGCGTCGACGAGGCATCAGTGGATGAGTAGCCACAAAGGCCGCATTGAAATCTCGCTGTACGAGACGTCGGATGCGCTGCGCCTGTATAAAGTAGTTGTCCATAGCGCCAGCGCTGAGACTGAATGCTCCAAGTAAGATTCTTCTTTTGACTTCAGAGCCGAGCCCTTCGCCTCGCGCTCTTGCGTAGAGATAGCTGTTATTCTGAGGGTCACAGTGGTTACCATCAAAGCTCGTTCCATAACGGACTCCATCGTATTTAGCCAGGTTGGAAGACGCTTCAGCGGGTGCAAGGACGTAATACGCTGACAAGGCAAGCTTAGTTGTTGGGAGAGATACCGAGTGAACGGAATGTCCCTGCTGGAGCATGTAATTCAGTGAACGAGACCAGGCCCGTCGCACAGAAGGAGCAAGCTCAGAGATGTTGTATTCAACTGGGACACCAATTTTGAGGGATTGTCTCGTCATGCGAGACTCGAGGCGAGGTGCTTTGAGGTGGGCATAAATGCGTGATCGAGTATCAGGGGATAGATTAGTTGGGTCACGCGGATCGTGCTGATTTACGATGTCTGCAAGAGTTAGCGAGTCTTTCAGGTGACACGATGTGGAGTCACAAGTAACGCATACCAAAGACATCACGTACTCTAGACACTTCCCTTCCGAGTATACCAACCGTATCCAATGAATTTGCATATGCAATTACCCCCCAACGGGATATCAGTCCGTAAGAAGGCTTAAAGCCCACAACCCCCGTGTAGGCGGCAGGAAGTCTAACAGAGCCCCCCGTGTCAGTACCCAATGCTCTGTATTTGCATCATTGTTAGAAAACGCCTTTCACAAATCTTAAGTGCCAAAGAGACGCACATACGTGTAACATTGTTCTGTAGCAACAGCCACTGCACTGCCTCCCGAGCTGCCGCCGGCCGACAGATCCTCTGCATTGCGATTGCGGTACAAATTCCTGACCGGACCAAAAGTAGAATTCACCGAGTGGGATCCCATCCCAAATTCGTCAAGATTGGCCTTGGCGGCCACGATGGCTCCAGCATCCTCCAAGTGTTGCACGACAGTAGCGTTGAATGGGCTGATGAACGTGTCTAGAGCTCTCGAAGCGCATGTGGTTGGGAGGTCGCGTGTGCAGATGTTGTCCTTAATGACTACTAGTCGGCCGTCGATTCGCGATCTGGGTTGACCTACTCGAGGGTGGAGAGATGACGGGTAAGCCTCTAGCGTGGTGTAGTCAAATGTTGGTGGTTACCTTCTGCTCTCCGGATATCGGCTTCTTTGACTTGATTCTGCCATTGGCTCGGGTGACACAATGTGCTAGTCAATGCATTCAGAGCAGCGCAAGAGCTCTGATTGGCGATGCATCTCTCTGCTTCGCGCAAGAGGGACATTTAGTTCTTAGTATAATCCAGCGTAGGAGACTGAGCGAACGCGGAGTAGAAGTAGAAAGTAAGATCGGGAGGCGGAGACTAAAAAGTAGGCAATAACCCCCAGGATGCACCGAGCGGTGAGCGTAAATATTCCGTATTGGTGGATACATACCCTACCTTTGACAGCTCCGACTCTGGACAAACGTACCCCATTGGTGAGTCCTACTGCTTCGTCGTTGAGTTTGGGATAGTAAATTTACTTAGAAACACCGGTTCGAATGAGGAAGGCAAAGGAAAGGACCTCGGACGTTCTAGATAGGTACCCATTCAAACAAGGTACCGTATATCTAGAAAAGCCATACCCGAAACGGCGTCTCCCCCTTTCCGTCGGCCCGAGGAGGAACGACGTCATGCACAAGCTCTCTCTTCCTTTCGCTCTCCCCAACCCTACTTTCTCCCAGAGAATCGAACACGCAGTTCATACTCGCTTGCGATATCACCTGACGCGAGGACCAACTCTGTACAACACAGGATAACACAGGCCTGTCAATATGATCTCCACCGGTTTGAGACGGTCAGCGTTGGGTGCTTGCCGCGGCCGTGCCGGAGGGCCGATTTCCAGACTCAGAAACCTTGCGCCGTCCACTGCGGTGACGCAGCACGAATGGCGGGGGGTCAGCTGCCGTCACCCATTGGAAAGCAGAAGATGGATTTCCGTCTACGGCTACACTCAAGCTAAGGCCCTTATTTATTCTCGTTACGGGGAGCCAAAGGATGTTCTGCAGTAAGTAGATCAATACCCTGAGCTTTTCCTGGATCTTCGAAAATATACGGATGTAGGGACCGTGAGTCTAATGTGTTGATCTAGGCTTCACAAGCATTCCATATCCGCCCCACATGGGACTCAAGTCAATCTTCGTCTGCTTGCTGCGCCGCTAAATCCAGCCGACGTAAACCAGATCCAGGGCGTCTATCCGAGTAGGCCACCCTTCGAGACATCTCTTGGTACACAAACGCCTTGCGCGGTTGCCGGCAATGAAGGCGCGTTTGAGGTCATCTCCACTGGTTCCAATGTCACCAACATCAAGAAAGGGGATTGGGTGGTTATGAAGCAGACTGGACAAGGCACTTGGCGCACTCATGCACAGATGGACGAGTCGCAGTTAATCAAGATCGAAGACAAGGAAGGCCTAACTCCGCTTCAGGTCAGTACCGTCAGCGTAAATCCTGTGACAGCGTACCGGATGATCAAGGATTTTTGTGACTGGGATTGGATGCGTACTGGAGAAGAATGGTTGATTCAGAATGGAGCTAACAGCGGTGTTGGACGAGCTGCTATCCAGCTGGCGCGGGAATGGGGTATCAAAACACTCAACGTCGTACGGGAACGGAAGACGCCCGAAGAGACTGAGAATTTGAAGCAGGAACTGCGTGATCTGGGTGCGACGGCGGTAGTGACGGAAGCCGAGTTGCTGTCTGGTGAATTCAAGAATCTTGTGCATGAACTCACACGCAAGGGGAGAGAACCTATTCGTTTGGCGCTGAACTGCGTTGGCGGTAAAAGCGCGACTGCACTGGCCAAAACTCTCGCACCGGGTTCGCACCTGGTCACTTATGGAGCCATGTCGAAGCAGCCGGTTGCACTGCCGTCGGGCCTCCTTATTTTCAAGAACCTTGCCTTTAATGGGTTCTGGGTCAGCAAATGGGGCGACAAGAACCCACAACTCAAGGAGAACACGATCAACGATGTGTTACAGTTGACAAGAGCAGGCAAGTTCAAGGATATCCCCGTGGAAGAGCTCAAATGGCGCTGGAACAGCGAGGGTGCAGAGCTTTTGGCTGGTGTGCAGGAAACACTGAGTGGTTTCCGCAGTGGAAAAGGCTTGCTTCGGTACGAGGCTGAGGATTGAATTTCGTGATCTCAATTTACTTATCGCAACATTGAAAGGGGGTGTAGAATGCTGGCCTCAACTCACGACGCTGAAAAGCTAGCTAGTGTTTAGCTCATGTATACTACTAATGTTCCATCCAGTTTGGCTTTTCATCACCATCAAGATCGTGTTTGCCTAAAGTCCAATAAAGCATAGTAAGCCGCATGGTGAAGATTTCTTTTCAGGAAGACCAAGGACCTAAAGTAAGCTAAAAGCCAGTCAAGTAATTGATTATTCTAGGCATAGATAAGATGGGGAGACAAGGCAGTCATGATTCTGGACATTCTATAGAAGCTTATACTACCTAAGGTTTCGTGGCTCAGAAAACAAAAGAGCGTTACAGAGTCTGGCCTCGTTGCCATGCATGCTACTTACGAACACTACTCAGATTCAGATGACGCGTCGTCACAAGCCCAATTCGTTTTCACCCAGTTCAGGATTAGGCTTGTCAGATTAGTAGACGGCATGTAGACGTCACTATCTTGCGAGAAGTCAACATCGAGCCCCGCAAACTTGGCCGCCAGAGCTACATAAGGCTCTATAAAGTCAATATAGACCAGGTCCACCGTTTCTAGCTCGTCAGACCCGTTTGGAGTTACCAGGGACTGAATGCAATTCGGAACCCGATAAAAGGTAAGATGGGAATGGACAGTATCATCACCATCAGTGCCGGCATCATCGGTGGTAGTATACCCAGGGACTAGATCAGGCCTGGCATAGCCATTGACTGAAAGCAAGGCTTGATCGGTAAGCAAACCTGCAGCGGACCAACCAGTATATGAACTCTTGACGAAGGGGGCGGCTGCATCATCTGCAGGCTTTGATTGCTCAGGAGGGGCGAGTGACCAGGTCGGTAGGTCTATGTGTTGACGCTGCGCAGTCATTATTTGAGGCTGTTTATTGAGTACCTCGACCAAGAACTTCGCTCTGTCGTAAGGCACATCCTTGACGTAACGAAACCCACTCGAAAAGGGAGAGATAATGTACGTGGTGTCCTGAGTGAATGGTCCCTTGAAGATATCAAAGCGAATAGCTCCCGTATTCACGATGGCAAGTGCCGGCTTTCCAGTACGAGATTCATCATTCAGAGAAGCAGGGAGCACTTCTTCCTCTAGCCATGTATATATACTGTTCCTATGGGGGTACTTGACGCGGGACATCCAGAGATCTCTTGGGGCACAACCGTGTAATGTGTCCAGCTTGAGGGCGCTTCTGAATTGTTGTATAAGCAATGATACGTTCCGGCCATGTTCTGTAGGGAATGTGGTCTCGTCCAGACCGGTGTGGTGATAAAATGAGAACAAGTTGTTATCGATATACTTCCGACCAAATTTAGGCGCTGCGAGGGCGGGCTTAAAGTGGTGTTTGCTAGTGGATAACCCGTCAATCGACATGAAGCCGATGGTCTCCATGAATCGGCCACTCGCTAGCCCATAGGCTTTAGAATCATACCGCACATAATCTCGAATGTGGTAATGCCCTCCAAAGAACTGAATAGGTGTGTCCCATCGGATAGCGCGTATCTCCCGATATATATCATTGTATTCATCGGAGCGAACAGGGGCATGACCAATGACGAGGAAGAGATCCACATCTTCGTCTCTAATGGCATCTTGGAACCATTCTTCTTTGATTGTCTGCTCCACAGATCGAACATGAGTGTTGTTATCATTATTCTTGAAGTTGAATATGAAGCCGAAGGCGATGATGCGAATCCCTTGATTCTGGGTGGTAAACTTCTTGAAGCGAGGGGCCAAAGGAACGAATTCATTGAGTACTGGGTGTAAAATATCGATATTTGATGCTAGGTAATTACCACGAAAGTTCGGAATCGTAGTAAAGAACTCTGCCGCAGACGTTGTCCTTTTATACAGCTCATGGTTGCCCGAAGACAGAAGGTCAATATGTTGGTGGCGTAAGATCTCGGAAAGGTAGACGCCCTTGGGCTCCGAAGAATCATATAAACCATTACCCTCGACTCGATCCCCTGTATCAATTACTAGCAGATCTGAACCATCGGACTCGGCTTTCTCGCGCATGCGGGCGGCAAAAGAGACGTAGTCCCCCCAGTCTGCCGCATAAGACGGCCTGTCACATAGATACTCGATCAGTAAGAACCTTTTTGACAAAGCCAGACGAAGGGTATTCAAATCGCATACTCTTGTAGGTGACCGGCCAGCCAGCCATGAGTATCTGTAGTATGAAGAAAGTTGAGTTGCCCCCAAGTCAGATCGCGTAATGGGGCCGCGACAGGTTCCGGAGCTGAGGGTTGTGCTGCGCGGACGGATGAGGTAAACAGAGAAGGCGACAGCAGCAGCACTGCTGCCGCAAACAGGATATATGGCATTTTGATCTGTCCCAGGTAGAAGTGAGTGGAAGTGAAGCCGATAGATTCGGCGCCCGCACTACTGGAAAAATCCTATGATACTCTGTAGTACTCCGTCGTCCGAGAGGTATTTACTGTCCTCCGTCGATATAACACTCCGGGGAGTCACTACTCCGGAGGTCGCTTATCGCCGGCAGTCTCCTTATCGGCAGTCACGCGGATTTGCACGGAACGGAAGAAGGCGCCGGTGAGAATCTTAGCTTAGTCAGGCAGCCCAGGGCCCAACAGTCTTTCTCGAAGCTCTCACCAAAAACCACATCTCTCATTGAACGGAAGATTCCCGTGTTGAATAAGTTACGAGGCTCTAAAGGTGTTGCCCGGTTGCTTTCTCTAGTTTGTCTTCCTCATCTGCATATCGTACACCATTGACCACTTCTCCTAATCTTTTCATCAAACCCTCCAGTTCGGCCATGGCTGCTCCCCGACTTTTCCGCCCAGCAGCTCGTCTGCTTTCCTCGCGCCTTTCCTCGACTCCTCTTCGCCCGGCTTTCTCGCAAACTGCTTGCGCACCTTCCGTCCTGCGCCTCCGGGGCTACGCTACCGAAACCGGTGCCAAAGAGGTCACAGTTCGTGATGCATTGAACGAAGCGCTCGCCGAGGAGCTCGAGGGCAATGAGAAAACTTTCGTTATGGGGGAGGAGGTCGCGCAGTACAACGGAGCGTACGGCGACCCTTCTATCATCAACCATCGCTCACAAATCATGAAACTGACATAGTTTAACCGATACAGATACAAGGTGACAAGAGGTCTGCTTGACCGCTTTGGCCCGAAGAGAGTTATCGACACCCCCATTACGGAGGCTGGTTTTACTGGTCTCGCTGTCGGCGCTGCCCTTGCTGGCCTGCACCCCATTGTGAGTCTCCATTGATGAAGAGCTTCAGGTATCTAATCATTACGCGCGAATGCTTCAACTAACCTACCTTTGCCCCGCCAAGTGCGAGTTCATGACCTTCAACTTTGCCATGCAGTCCATCGATCATATTATCAACTCCGCCGCCAAGACGCACTACATGTCCGGAGGAATTCAGCCTTGCAACATCACGTTCCGCGGACCTAACGGATTCGCTGCTGGTGTTGCTGCTCAGCACTCTCAGGACTATTCTGCATGGTATGGCAGCATCCCTGGTCTGAAGGTTGTTGCCCCCTGGAGCGCCGAAGATGCCAAGGGCCTGCTAAAGGCTGCTATTCGTGACCCTAACCCCGTTGTTGTGCTGGAAAACGAGTAGGTTCTCCCCCTAATGATCAATACACAGGATTCTATCATCCCTGACACAGTTTGATAGGCTCCTGTACGGCCAGGCCTTCCCTATGAGCGAGGCCGCTCAGAAGAACGACTTCGTTCTTCCCATTGGCAAGGCCAAGATTGAACGCCCTGGCAAGGACCTCACCATTGTTTCCCTCTCTCGCTGTGTGGGTCAGTCGCTCAACGCCGCTTCTCAGCTCAAGCAGAAGTACGGCGTGGAGGCTGAGGTCATCAACCTTCGGTCCGTCAAGCCTCTTGACGTGGAGACCATCATTCAGTCTCTCAAGAAGACCGGCCGTCTCATGTGTGTCGAGTCCGGCTTTCCCATGTTCGGTGTTGCTTCCGAAATTCTTGCTCTCTCCATGGAGTATGGCTTCGACTACCTGACTGCTCCTGCTGTTCGTGTCACCGGTGCCGAGGTTCCCACTCCTTACGCCGTTGGCTTGGAGCAGATGAGCTTCCCCCAGGAGGACACCATTGTCAACCAGGCTGCCAAGCTGCTGCGCCTGTGAGGTAACTCCGTGTATATGACCAGTACATGAAGAAAAGGCGGTGTTGAAGCAACCACTGATAACAAAGGCTTGTGTGCCTAGCATCCCATGATTCTTGCCAGTCACACCCAATATTCCATCTCGTCTTGCCTTACTATTTGACCTGAAATTTGTACGACTATACAACAGAACCAATTCCATTTTGCATTGTTAAACATCGGGTCCTTGCTTTAACGCAATTCTCTGAACAACCCCACTTGTGGTTGTTTCACCATCAAGATACACCTGAACAAGCGATGATACCCTTGTTCTATGCATGTCGGAAGATCACGTGAAACTGACTTGGCTACTTATGGTGGAAAGAAAGACCAGGAATTTGCTAAACCAAGATCCCAACCGACGGAACAAGTAGACCATCAATCAAGCAACACCCACCCCCTACATAATTACAACCCTCATGATTCTCAAGGCGTCTCTTTTCTTCAAACGATTGCTATTCCAGCTTGGAGCTCGTTTCTACTTCCGGCACATCCACGATAGCAATCTGTAGGATGACTTGGATCGTAGTAATTCCCGTCGGCAACTTCACAATCAGTGTCGCTCTCCTCTAGTCTATGTTGAGAACTAGACCGTTTCGCTGCCGTACTTCGAATGCGATTGCTTGTATGTGTTGATTCTGGGGTAGCGGAGTCGTCATGATCATCGTCGTCCCCTCCTAGAACGTTCTTCTTGGTAGGTGCAGCAGGGCCGACGGGTCCCTTGACTGACGTGAAGGAACTTTTGAACCCTCCTTTCTTGAAACCTCCCCCGCCTCCAAAGCTATGGTTATTCCCGCTACCTGCTCCGATGACAGAAGAGCCACTATTAGGGGTGCCTATAACCCTCAAGCCGGCCTCCGCATCGGCCTTCCGCTCCGCTCTTCTTGCCTTCTCCGCAGCGTTCGGGTCTCGTGAAAGCTGTTTGAGATCCTGCAGACGCTTGCGATGCTGATGATCATACGATGATATATGGGCTTCGTATTCAGGGTGACGAGAATAGGATTTGTTGCATAGGGTGCAGGTGAAAGAGTTTAAAGCGGAGCGCGCCGATTCAGTCTGGTGAAAAGAGAACGCGAGACCACGTCAACAAAAGCTGAGATGAGGCGGGGCCTAGTATCGGGTGGGATCGAACCTTGGGGGCAGGATTGGTAAAGCCGCGCTATGTAGGAGATTTCTGTCAGAAAAAAGTTCTATCTTCGATAGCTCTAGCTTCCCGGATTATGACCCGGAAGGAGAGGGTGTCGCGGGCACTTGCAGGCGCCATCTTCAAACAAGATGATGAGATCGTAAGGACGATACACTCTGATTCACTAGGGAGTTCAGCTAGCTGGGAGGACTGCTAAGTATAATTTTTGAGATCTATTGACACTGAGAGGGAAGTGTTCGGAAGGTTGTTGTCGAAGCTTACTTTCTGACATTGCATAAGTGTTAGTTACAGTGCCATGTCACAAAAATTACAGTACCTCTCTCGTTCTGTTAAAATTACAGATCATGGGGTTCTAGCTTAGTACACATAACCATCGATCCAATCATTCAACTTCAAATTATGTGCATTATATAGTCCTGTAATATCATCCCAGCTTCCAAGTTCCAAATTCCCAGAGTCCGTTCTTCCCTCTTTCGCAATTTCTCACTGTCCCAGGAAACGTTCACATTTAGTCCTTGGAAATAATGAGCTGAACCAGTTTGACTCCTTACTCCCTGTTTTCTCTCGCGCACTCTCTTGACCTATCCTTCGGTGCTGTTGTTGCCATGGCCTCCGCCCCAGACAGCCTTCCACACAAGCCAGAAAACATCGACACCCGCTCGGTTATCTCTATGCGGGAAATCGACCCTTCTCCAGTGGAGGATGGGTTTCCAGATCTTGAAAGTAGCGAATATTCTCCCAAGCTGCACGCGCAGTCCCAAGAGTCACTGCGGGTGAACACGAGCGCAGCGTCATCTGTGACTCTGGGTCTCCGCGGACATAGTTGGGATTCATGGTGTATGGCTCCCCGACTGCCCGTATCTTTCGCTTCTATCGCATATAAGCCTGCGTGAACTGATCCTCTGCTTCTCAACCATTATCCAGTGACTGCATTTCAACGATATTCGACGTACCCACCTAGCTTGTTTCTTGCTCTGCACTTCACCAATACCTCAATACTTCCTCTCATGACCCGCTCGGTGAGCGCAAGTGAAAACTATCTGCTGCTCACCAGGCCTTTCTACCAATCCCCGTCACTTGAACATGTCGTTCTCACCGTACCAATTCTGGTGCATATTCTGTCTGGGATTGCCCTTCGTAACATCCGGTCTTCACGGCGGGCCCGACTTTACGGCGCGGAAACTCGGTCGCAGCGATCTTCTCTCACGTTCTGGCCACGAATGAGTCTACAGGCTCGCCTGGGCTATTCACTCATTCCACTACTTGGTGTGCATGTCCTCGTCAATCGCATCGCTCCGGTCCTGGTTGACGGCGGAAGCTCAGGAGTTGGACTTGGCTATGTTGCTCACGGCATTGCACGGTCCCCGATCTTCTGGAACATATACTATCTGGTCTTTGTTGCTGTTGGAGTGTGGCATTTCGTCGGTGGGTGGGCCTCTTGGATGGGTTGGAAAGTTGCGACCATTCGGAAGCAGCGCGGTGTAAAAAATGGTTCACTCGAAGGCTACCTGGGTTATAGTGAAAGCGAACAACGAGTTCGAAGACAAAAGAGAATGTGGTGGGCTGTAAATACTATTGCTGCGGTGGGTGCATCTTTTTGGCTGGCTGGTGCTCTAGGGGTCATTGGGCGTGCCGGACCGGGCTCTGGGTGGGAAGCCAGCGGATGGAATGACATTTACAACCAGGTCCCCATGATCAAGGCCTGGTTATGAGCTATGATATCTGTTACTTTTGCTCTATGTATGATATACATGGGGATGAACATATTACTGCCAAAAAAGGCGTGTTAATCATAATTACAGCGAGAACAGCGACGTTAAGGAAGAGGTGATAAATCTCAGTGCTCTTGTTACCTCCTCGATGCCCGCTGGTATTGGTCGAAAGCAAAGAAATTCTCCTTGACCCAGGTCGACCGGCTGACAGCCTCTTATCCTATTCAATAGGATGGGAGTGTAGATTTCCCCTTCTGTTTTTGCGCGCCGCGCCGGGAGC